GTTTATACTAAATAAAATTGTTAAATTGTATTTTTTTAGCAAGAATTACATATTTTATAAAAAATAAACACATTGAATTGAAATTAAAAACTTTGCTTAATATGTATGATTCCAGTGCCGCAAAAATAACCTCATATAACTCGATGAAAACCTTCACCGATTGTTGTCTTTCAATGAATATTGTGGGACAAAATCTTTTGAATTTTTTTTTTGAATTTTTTGAATCAATTTCATCGAACGTTTGGGTAAAAATCTCCCTCTTCTTGGGTGGGGTAAAGAAGTCACAAACCGACGATATTGTTTCTAAATTTTGAAAAATATATAAAAATTATATAAAGATATCTATAATACATAATAAAATCTAATAAATTTCAATTAAATCAAAATCTTACTGTTCCGGATGTCTCTAATTTCACATGCCTCAGTTATCATCAAATTCAGGCAATGTGAACTGCAGTGAACATAATGAGCTGTGCTATAAAGCTCTCTAATTCTTGACTGGACCCCTTTAACATGGCCACTCATCGAGGGAGCTCCATCGTACCCTTGGCCTCTCAGTAGATTTAAATTTAAATCCAGGTTTTGAAGTGATTTAATAATTTGATTAGCAATCATTTCTGACTTAGTGTCAGGTAATTCAATAAATTGAACAAATAGTTCCTTCATTTTATAATTACCTGATTCCATATCAATAAACCTTATTGCTATGGATAGTTGTTCAATATTACCAATATCGGAAGTTTCATCCGCCAAAACTAAAAAATGGTGATGCTTTGACTTTTGAAGAAACTTCCTTTAATATAAACTGATTGCATATTGATATTATTTCATTTTGAATAGTGGGACTTAGGTAAGTAGCATTTTTAGAGGAGCTTTCAAAAAGCTTTAGGTAGTTGTCATTATTATTACATAAAAATTTCAATAATTCCTTGAAATTTCCTTCATTGTGAGAAGGGGATGTAAGTGTTAGGGGGCCAGGAGATATCCTATGAGCTCTTAACGCCAAGCCCTGCCTCCCTAACCAAATGACAGCATCAATAATTATAATTATTCTTGATCGATTTTTTGTAACAATATCAAAATTTTTTTTATTCAATACATTGGATATTGATATCTTTGGATTCATTGAGATTTCTTTTAAAGAATCCATTATCTCATAGGAATTAAGATGATATTTATTTTTTTGATGATAATTAAATTTTCGAGCGCATCTTTCCATCTTGTGTACACCTGACTTACCATTGTTTTGAGTTTTTGTAACCCATTTCCAGCATATCTTGGGGAAAATATGACGCAAACTTTACAAAATGCTCCCTTTTCATCGGCTGAGTAAGCAAGCCACTTATATTTGTTAAGCCAGGATGCTTGAAAGGTTAAATTTCTTTTGCCCAAGGGCAATGGAAATTTATAACATTTGTCAGGTATCCAAATATTTTCAACAGCTAACAATTTTTCATTATCATTTTTAAAATGAAAATTTAAGTAAAGTGAAACATCTTTTTGAGAACGGTGTGGTGTTTCTATATTTTTTTTTAGATTTTAAATGATATATTTCAATATGAATTTCAATGTTAAGAGCTGAGCAGCACAAGAAAAAAATCTGGATTATAAAAATGTATCTCAGATAGATATCAAAGTTTCTTAATAAAAATTTAAAGACAGATACAAGTAGAAGGAAATTACTATAGAATATTATTATCAATTTTAATTAATATTTTTATATTTGTGGGATGATTTACACTCATGGAAGTGAAGAAGGTAGTAATATTTAAATTATGAAAATAAGTTCCTAAATATTATAAGCTGCCCAAGATTGTATATACAAAAGATTTAAAAAAATAATTATGTTCTTCACAAATAAATAATAAAAACTGTTTATTATAAACTATTCTAGTTTAATTGGTAATGATAAATCATCTGTATCTAAGATTCATTTTTTCACAACAAATCTGTATCTAGATTATTTTTCTGGAGGGCCTGCCCAACTCTGTTTGTATTGTAGATACAAGTTTTCAATACTGCTGAACTCTGTTTGACTTATAATGTACTACCTTTTGCAAAATATCACAAAAAAATGACTAACTTTAAAATTATAACTAAATATCGTACATTGCAAAATTTTAATAACTCAAAATGAAAATAGTACAATTTACAAATAAAAAAAATGGAATTAAAATAAATACTATACCATCATTTGATGATTTTCCAGCCAAATCAACTGATAGCTCACATGCTTTTGTAACACATAATGTTTCTATTTTTAATTAAAAAATATTATAAATTATAAATAATTTAGAATATATACCATCATTTGATGATTTTGTAGCTAACTCATCATTGGTTTTCCCATGGAGATGGAGTGGTAATGGTATGTCTGGTATTTCTAATTGCAAGATTTAAATAAAACATATTAATAATACCATTACCTTCGAACTCAACTGATGGCTGATTTTCACTAGCAACATCCATATATATTTCTAATTCAAATTACATAACTTAAATTTTATAAATAAATTAATATATACCTTTTTCTTTTTGTTGTTGACAAAAAAATTTACGGATATCCATATTTAAAAATTATAAAAACTTAAAATTTACAAACAAAACAAACTATCTAAATAGTTTAAATTTAAAAATATATATTTAATAATTAAATTTATAAATATCTAATTTAACTATGCCAAGCCAGAAAATATTTACAAAATATCTTTATTGTTATTTAATATTCTAATTTAACTATGCCAGAAATTATTTACAAATACAATATATCTTTATTCTTATTGTTGTTTAATATTTTAGTTCATATAATTTATATATATTTTTAAACGATGTGATCATTTAAAATTAAAACTCCTTTTTTTTATAAATATATTTCATTGTGATATTCATATTCATATAGTATTATATATAATATATTATCTTATTTCTCTAAATTGAAACCGTTTTTTAAATATAATTATTCGCAATAAAAAAATAATAATTTTTTATTTTATAAAAAAAAAAAAAAAATTAAAAAAAAAAATTTTTTTTTCCATGGGGGGGGGGGGTTCCCCCTTGTCTACGCCACTGTGGCTAGCTATTGTTGGATTTTTCACTATCCGAGGAAAAAATTTTGACAGTTTTATTGGAATGTTCTTATTCTTGTTGAAATGGCGAAGGATATAGGGAAATGTTTTAATATTTCCCTTATTAGATGCGTTTGTTAGAATTGCATAGATGTCTATCTTTTAAATCATATAGAAATGACCTCTAGGATTCAGTTACTAAAACATTTGTGATAGCCTTGCTCATTTTTATTCTGCCACAAGTAAGGTTTTCATTTATATTGGAGTCGTTAAATATCATGAGAAAGAGATTCGACCCACATTGTGAGATATAGCTATGTGAATGTTGAACTACATGATTGTATACAATTTCCGCAAAAGTAGTTGCATCTTTATTATTTATTATTTTTGAGAATATTTTTGTATTGCAATCGATGTTGATATACTCTCCTGTACGGACTTATATGAATGAAATGATGATTAATTATTATTGGATAAAAATAAAACAGGATAGAAAGAAATTTACAAACTAGACATGTTTTTCGAATAAATATATAAAATTTAATAAAAAAATATTAAAATAATCAATTAATGCCTCTCAAAATTATTATTTATAAAAAAACGTTAAAATACTAAAAAAAATTGCGGGCGAAATTAAAAAATTGCGGTAGATTTTTGCGAGAGATTTCCAATTGCGGTAGTTTTGTGGGAGAGAGAGGTCTGCGTGTAAACTAAAAAATTGCGGGAGTCTCCCGCTGATGGGGGGAGACATGGCAACCCTGTCTACAAGCCTTGATGAAAAGGATTTTCCCATCAGTATTACAGAATTCTAAATTTTATACTAAATCATAAGCCATATTCAAATCTTCTTGGTTTTCTTAATAGAAGTGGATCTTCAATTTCATTCTGAAAATGTTATTTACTAGTTTACCAATATTGTCATCAAATTTATTCCCGATCTCTGTTGGATATTTTATCGTAGCGATATTCTGCCACCATAAATTTTATCGAGCTTGTCAATATGCACAATAATATTTAGGATAAAGAAGCACTACAAAGTTACCATGAAGTTCTATCGAGCATGAAGTTTACGAAGACACATAATGAAATTTACTAGCAAATTAAAAATAATTGTAATGATCACAATGATGATATAATACAAAATAAAAATTTAATTCTTTATGATATTATTTATTATTTTAATTAATATTTTATTGTATAATTTGTTTGACATTGTTTTTTTATTCAAATGACTTGAGGAATACATGTGTATATTATCTAAAATATCTTTTTGTATTTTTTAGTATTAGTATTGCAATTTTTTTGTTTTTATATTAAATATACCAGATAAAAGTTATCCATTTATAATGTTGTATACTACTCTAATTAATCGGCAGGATTGCAAAAATGATTAGATTAACTTTGATTTTTATTAAATTTATTTAACCCCAAATATAAGAATATCTTCTGGTAGGGTTTCTCCCATTAGGATTTTTTAAAGATTATTATATTGAGCAATACTTCTTAGAATTTTGGAAGGTGAAGATGATGTTATTAAAGATTTGGCAAGATCGTTAAAATAAAATTTTATTTTGCTCTTAATCGTTCGGTATCATATGTTTTCAATTCAATTTTTAAATAAATGCTGTCTATAACTTGTTCCTTTATTAAGTTGATTATGCTATGCATATTAGATTGCAAGAATTATTTATATCATATGCAGCTACATTTTTTATTATATGCAAAATATTTATTAAAAAATCTTTCAGTCTTGCTTATCAGTCTTTTTAAAATAACGCCAATATTTTTTAATTCTGCTAATAATCAATCCTTAAATATAGAACAGTATATCAAATATGACGATATCAACGATATATCTGTTTGCAATTTATATACATGCTTTCATCATACTAAATATGAACAGAATTTAATTACTATAAAGCTATACATTTATGACATAAATGAAATAAAATTTTCTAAAAAATTTAAAATGACTAAACATTATTCTGAAATATTAGATTACTTTGATCTCTATCTTAAGACAAATAATCCTTATCATGCAAACTTTTATTTAGCACCTTTTGATATTTTAAATATGAATGATATACCAGGGAAGAATGGGTTTTCACACTTGGATACATATAACATTTTTAGATCACTTAAATGGTAATATTCTTATTTCTTTTTTTATTTAGATAATATTTAAATAATATAGGTGGAATAATGGTAGCAATCATCTTATATTTTCAATGATCCCAAACCTTGATTTTTTACCAAACAATATTAAATACATCTCACAGTATCATCATTCATTGCAGAAATATATGAAATATATTTATACTTTTTCTGGCAAAGCTATATTAATGTTATCCTATTTTATTCCATCAACTTACAGGCAAAATTTTGATATAGCAATTCCTATATATAATCCAAAATTAATGGATAATACATGTCTAAATAGCTATGTGAGGCAAGAATACAATAAATATAGGTATAATTTAGTTATTTGCTAGCATAAATTGACTGGGTGAGCATAAAGTACTTATTTAAATTAGTGATCAGCAAATGGTAAAATTTTCACAGCCCAGCTGGAATTTAATTTCCTGGCCCTTCCAAATTTATAGCCCACCCAGCTCGGTTCCAATTTTTTTTTTACTAAACTTGCCTGGCCCAATCTTTAAAAATCCAGATACGTGTCCTATATGAAAATAACCAATAATGATGAGAATTTAATCATAAATGTAGGAAGAAAAATCGTATTTATAAATGAATGATCATAAAATCATTTAATCATTAAAATATTGAGCTGTGCTTATATTTATCGGATTGGTTTTACCATATGCATTAGAGATCTGCAAAGTTAGGCCCGCCCAATATGGGCCGGGCCAGACTTGGGCCTAATTCTATTTAAAATAATTGGGTTCGGGCCAGGCCTAATATTTTTAAAAAAATTTCAGGCCGGATCGGGTTGGACCTTGGAAATTTTATTAAATATATCTAAATTTATCAGTTTTATATTAAATAATCTATATTTATTTCTATTGAAATTTATAAAAAATTATATTAATGTTTAATAATATAAAAATGAACATTGAAAAGTTATTATATAAATAAATTATTCTTACGCTATTAAAATTATATAAAATATATTCTAATCATCATGTGAGATGTGATCCAAGTTCCTTGAAGAAAGAAAGAGCACGATTCCCAAAGGTATTCAAGGTATTGGAAATGATGGGAATGAATAAGTGATCTTGGGATATCTCTGAATATTTTGCAATTTTTAGAAGCTCCTTGTTCTCCAGAATGTTAAGGGATTGATTGGAAAGAGCCAATGGATCAATACAAGAGTAATCCCAGACCAAGGATTGACCTCGCTTCCAGGGAATTTGAGAGATCCCGTCAGGGCATTTCCCATCAGATCTGAAAAGACCAGAGGGTTCGAGAATAGAAGGAATTTGAGCAGATCTCAGAGCTCTAAGAATTATAGAATTGCAAATGTTATGTCTAATGATGCGACCTTTACATGAACGACAATGTAGACTATGTCTTCCATTACTCAAAACAGCAGAACTGCAGCCGGCACAGATGTGGGGTTGGGTTACTAAGCAATTTAAACGGATGCCTATAGCATGAGTTAGCTCATTTTGGGTCAATTGTAATTGTAAGTTACTCGAAACCCTTAATGAGTTGGCTGACATATTTTCCCTTCTCCCCTCTCATAAAGCCTTTTTCTCCTAAAAAAATCAATATCCCAAAAATTCTTTACGCGCTTCGCTCTACCCCTATTTTTAAATTTCCCACTTCCTTAGGCATTTATGAAAATGGGATAAGTCCTAATTGAAAGTATCCTTAATCTAAAATTCATGAATTAGCATGGACACAAGCCACCCTTCCTACCAAGATGGGAGGACTAGGCATCAGATCCCCTTCCGATCTTGCCTTAACTGCCTTTATATCGAGCTGTCTTTTAACCAAAAATTTAGTCTATCCTAATTCCTTAAATCCTGACCCTTCCTTTGATAGTGCCATCATTGAATGGAAATCTCGATTCATTGCCGACCACCTAATTCCAGAAACGAACAAGCAGAAGGACTGGGATAAGCCCATTATTGCAAGCTGCGTCGAATCTCTCCTTTCCAGTATGCAATCATTGGACCGTCCCTTATTCTCCTCTCTGCTTAATGGTTCTGGACATGAGTTTCTCGAAGCCATTCCATCCGCGAACTTACAATTACAATTGACCCAAAATGAGCTAACTCATGCTATAGGCATCCGTTTAAATTGCTTAGTAACCCAACCCCACATCTGTGCCGGCTGCAGTTCTGCTGTTTTGAGTAATGGAAGGCATAGTCTACATTGTCGTTCATGTAAAGGCCGCATCGTTAGACATAACATTTGCAATTCTATAATTCTTAGAGCTCTGAGATCCGCTCAAATTCCTTCTATTCTCGAACCCTCTGTTTCAGATCTGATGGGAAACGCCCTGACGGGATCTCTCAAATTCCCTGGAAGCGAGGTCAATTTTATATTCAATTTTTTATGTAAAATAAAAATTTTTGATTTAATTTATTGAAACTAAACGCTATATAACATATGTCTTTTATTTTAGGTAATTATAAAAATTAATTTCTATATTTAAATAAATTCGGGCCTGGCCGGTAAATTTTTTAAAAATAAATTTCGGGTTCAAGCCAGGCCGGTATAACTTTTTAAAAAAATTTTGGGTTTGGGCCGAGCCGGGCTTGAAAAATTAGGCCCGATGCAGATCACATAGCCCGGACCAGTCTGGATTTTTTTTTAATAAAAAATTTTCTGCCCAACACACCTCGGTCTTATATTTCCAGAGGCCTGACCCTGCCCAGATTTTTTTAAACATTGCATTTATTCTCTATTTTTGTAGGTAATGGATATTTAAAATATTCTGTTTTAAAACATATGGCCTGGCTCAATTTTTAAAACAATTTTAAGCCTGGCCCAGCCTGGGCCAAGTATTTTAAAAAAAATATTTTTTTTTAGGCCCAGCCCATTCAAAAAAAAAATTAAAATCCCTGGGCTTGCGGGTCTCTGATAATTAGATAATTTACTTTATTTTTTAAATCATAAAGAAAGATAAAAAATTTTACACTATTTTTTGTTATATTTTCTGCAACAAGAAAAGGATTTTAAAATATTTAACGAGTCACATTAGTGATGTTAAACTGCTCGTTTTGAGCCGATTTTTAAAAATGGCTAACTCAAGATTTCATCCACAAAAATATTACGCAAGCCCGAAGATTTTGCTCATAGAAGGAACAAAGATCTAGATATATGTTATCGAAATCTCGAGGCTTATAGTGCGTACAAATTGACCGTTTCAACGCAGCGTTTTAAAACGCATATCAATAATTTAAAATACAAAACGCAAACGTACTCAAATTAAACGAATGCAATTAAAATGCATTATTTGCAGAAACGCAGCTTTGAAATGTTCAATTTGTGCGCACTATAAGTCACATTCAGGTAGTGTTGTTAAACGAACCCCGGAAAAAAAGCCACATTTTTTTTTTCTTCATATTTATAGAATTTATTTTAAAAACCTAATAAAATGCTGATGTTCAAATTAGTTCTGGGGAAAAAATAACTCATGCATTTCTTATTTTCGCAAAATTTATTTGCTATAACGGTAAATAGGAAGAAAAAAAACCCCTTGGAATAAAACCTTAAAAATTTCAAATTAAAATAGTTTTTTGTTTTAAAAGATCTAATTTGACGCTTTATAAATTACACTTTTTGAAATTCTCACATGTAACATAGGATTTCTTCTACGAGATCTTCTACGAGATCTTCTTCGACTCAAAATTAGAAGAGCGGTTATGGAATTTTTAGGGATGCTTTATCATAATTAATATATGGAGGTTGGGTAAAGCAAGATAAATAATGGGGTTTTGATTTTTACTTTTTTTTGCTAAAATATATTTGAAATTGTTTATCAGAATTGAAAGCTATCCCCCGTATTTAGATAATTGAAATTTAATAATACTTTGTTAAAAAATATAATTGTTCAGCAAGTACCTAAATCATGAACAGCTATTAAGATTGAACATTAAGGTTTAAAATTTATTTTTAATCAAAAGATTAAAAATTGTTTATCTGTTCAAATAACGCTATAATTCTTGGTATTTTATAAAATTAAACATTAATGATTTGTATTACAAATATACGGTATATAAAGACAAAAAAAAAATTTTTTTATAGTATTTTAATTTGATAATTTACAAATATAATATTTAAGTCGTAAAATTTATATTTTATTAAAAAAAAATTAATGGAGCTAATTCATCCTGGAAAAGTAGTATTTGAAGGTTACTCATATACCATCCATAAAATTTTTTTAAACAATATAAGATGGCGCTGCCCAAAGTATCTTTTAAATGCCGAGCAATATTATCATCAACACTCGAAAATCAAAACCCGGTATTTGAAACAACTCATACTCATCCATCAAATATTGATGCGATATTAGCAATGAAATTCATTTCTAACATGAAGAAGCGATGCGCAGACTCTTTAGCAAAACTTTTCAAATTTATGCAGAGGAAGTATTGAAATTAGACCAAAGTATTCAGTCACACATGTTATCGGAAGATTCAATATAAAGAACTCTAAGTAATCATGAGGCAAAGCACAAACCTTCAAATCTTGAGAATTTGGAAAGCCTAATTATTGAAGGTATTAATTTAAATATAATTATATTTTCATAAAAATTTAAATATTATAGGTGATTAGGCAATTTGTGGTTCCCAGAACTCAAAAAGATTTTTATTATTTGATAATGGCCCATATGCTGAAGAACGTATAATCATGTTTGCAAGGGATGAATCCTTAAATTTAATAACAAATGCGACAGCATGGTTTATGGATGGAAATTTTGCCATGTCTCCAAAAATCTTTCTACATATATGTTATTAGAGTATCAATAAACACAATTTTTATCACCGCTGTTTATTTAATCTAAAAAAAAAACGCAAAGTACGAAAAAATATTCGAAATAATAATGTCTAAATGTCAGGAAAGGGATTTATTTGTTTATTTCCAACCAGATTAGAAAAACGATGATTCCAACCTTCGCATTGATTATTTGTGCGTTCTTCGTCGAATAGAGTGCTCTGATTCACATTCCAAGTTTCTGGAGTAATCGAGGCTCAATTCGACGTGTCTGAGATTGAGAATTGCTTCTTGTGACCTCCCTTGATACTCCATTGATATAATATTTATCAATCTGGAAAGCCAATAGAGGACCGATGAAACTCTAAGCTTCTTTTGTGGTATGAGGGACGGCTTAGCATTTGTTCCTTATGTGATACGGGCAATGCAATGACATTAGATCGGTTACTCCGTGCAATGGTAAGGATAGCTTGTTCGATAAATATTATATCAATGGAGTATCAAGAGAGGTCACAAGAAGCAATTCTCACTCTTAGACAGGTCGAAGAATTGAGTCTCGATTCCTCCAGAAACTTGGAACGTGAATCAGAGCATTCTATCCGACGAAGAACGCACAAATAATCAATGCGAAGGTTGTAATCATCGTTTTTCTAATCTGGTTGGGAATAAACAAATAAATCCCTTTCCTGACATTTAAACATTATTACTTCGAATATTTTTTCGTAAGTATTTTTGCGTTTTTTTTTGGAGTACACAATAAACAACGGTGATAAAAATAGTGTTTATTGATACTCTAGTGACATATAATGTAGAAAATTTTTTGGAGGCATGACAAAATTTCCATATACCGTCACATTTGCTATTAAATTTAAGGATTCACCCGTTGCAAATATGATTATACGTTCTTCAGCATGTGGATCATTATCAAATAATAAAAATTTTGAGTTCTGGGAACCACAATTTGCCCAATCACCTATAATATTTAAATTTTTATGAAAATATATTTTAATTTAAATAATACCTTCAATAATTAGGTCTTCCAAATTCTAATGATTTGTAGGGTTGTGCTTTGCCTTATGATTCCCTGGAGTTTTTTTTATTGAATCTTCCGATAACATGTGTGACTGAACGCTTTGGTCTAATTTTAAAACTTCCTCTGCATAAATTCGATTAGAAGTTCTTTTCGTGAAATTTCGAGGCTCGGATAATAATACTTTGGCTAAAATCTTGATTCACCCCATAAACATTGCAAGATTAATTAACTTTTGGAGAATAGAACAAAATATACTTAATCGTTCGTGAAAGTTAATGGGTGATATTTTTATGGCATTTACTCAAAAGATAGATGATAAATAAAAATCAAATATAAACATAAGATCGGGTTTTTAGTAGTTTCAGGAAATATCGGATCGGATTGGATCGGTGAAAAATTTGTGATTCGGCACAACCCTATTAAAATCATAAGCAAAATAAAATATATTATTAACAAAATTACGCTTAATTTTTTTTTTTGCTCGGCCCGTCCCAAATAAATTTTTTTATGTGTGATATCTAATTTAAAAGCAAGCTATTATTTTTTTTTGAACATTTACATTTAAATAAAATTATTTTTTAAAAAAAACTAATATATAATATATAAAAGAAATTGGAATATAATAAGTTCTCAACTCAAACTATCATCCACAGATCAATTATTATTGAGTCGAATCCATTCAACCATTCCAGGGACCTTAACACTCTTTGAATCGGCTCCACCAGAGTACGATACTGACATGTACCGTTCACTTCAGCAAGATGTCTTCAAAGTGGTAAAATATGTGGAAATTTTGCAAGTATAATTTTAAAAGCCTATTTAATTATTTGAAATCTAACTCCATAAAATGAGCGAGATTATGATGGTGATGGTGAAGCATCTTTAAGATATTTTAATAATCTGCATTTTGGCTTTAGAAAAGGGGGGGGGTGCGCTTCCCTTTTCCCCATATGTCATAGAAAGAGTTTATAATTGGGAATATAATGTACGTTCGGTGCGGGTCGGAAAAATGTTTATTTCGTTCTATGGGGCAGATTGGGCCAAAAAAATTTGTCTCAGTCTCTCCGAATAAGTTCATTTTCTCATCTGCTTTTTTAAAAAAAAGAAGAATAAGTCTTATTGTGGGATCTATGTGTAGGTCAGCCCGAAGTTCGCCCAACTAGACGTGTCCGCCCAAAAGATTTTTGGGCTGAACAACGCGTGCAAAATATTTATCTTAAGTTTTCAAAAAAAAGTCACGGGTCGTATCGGATAGCTCGTAAAAAAATTATTATAGACCGGTTCGGTCGGGTCAAACCGGCCCGCGCTGACCATTATTATGCGTTATAAAATAACTGGCTAAAAATTTTAATAAACCATGAATATCACTGTAAATAAGCAATCCATATTTTGTCTCATCCTTCCAAATCAATACCTAACATCGTTGGACTTATCGGAAGCTATCATGCAAGGATGTATACCCGTTATAATGAACATAGGCGACATAATACTACCTTACCATGATGTTTTGGATTACTCTAAGTATGGTATGCAATGCACAGCATAAATTTTCAAATTATTTTTTCTTCAATAGAAATTTATTTTTTAATTCTCTGTCCTTTCTAAAATATTTTTTTTAAAAAATACTTTTGTATTCGATACTTTTTTAAGAATCGATAGTTTATCATTGTCAAGTTCACTTTACTTATTATATATATTGACTTACATAAATGATAAATTTAGGTGTTATATAAATACCAAATAATTAAATCTTTCTCGGTGCCGCCCTGCCCCAATCCTCGGACCTGTGGATCGGGCCAAATTTTCTGTTCGGACTGAATTGATAACGATTTTATAGCGGATAAATTAGGCGAATTTGTGTCTTTTTTCTACATAAAAAATAATTACTGGCCGGGTCGGACAATTTGTACAAAATATATTTTCCGCGCAAGGCCAGGTAAAAAATTATTACGGGTTAGGCAACGACATATAATAATACCTAGACTGATGATGCATTCAAAAAATGTGCAACAATGGAAAACAGCTGAGGAATGACATTATGACGCCATTTTGGTTACCTATAGATAATATATAAAAAAATTTTTAAATTTTAACCTAAGCAAAGTAAAATAATATCATCCCTCACAATTATTTTAAAGCTATTCTCACAAGGAAATATGAATTTAGCAAACCAAATTTAAATAATTTAAAGTATTCCGGATCCTATATAGGTTACCAAAATGACGGGTCACATAGTCTCCAGCTGATTCGCATTCAACGATTTTTAATATGCATTATTATGAATGAATCGTCAGTCTATGTATTATTATATGTCATGTGGTAGGCCCCAAATTCCGATAGAAAATTTTCAGGGGCTAAATGACTATCACCCTACATATTCAAGTTTGCAATTTAAGTTACTTATAAAATCTATTTGTATAAAGCTAGAAAGTTTTAAATTCATTCGTTTAAAGTTGTTCTCTAAGTTACAGTGCCCCTAGTAACGAAGTTCAAGTTCACTTTAGCCATAAATTTACGTCGATTTCTCTGGGGCTAGTCGCAACCGTCCAAAATTTCAATTTTATCCAGATTTCTGACTATTACCTTTAAGATCATTTTTATCTTAATCTTATATTGATTGCTGCTGGAAAGCCAGGTCTAATCCTCACCTAGTTTTTAAAACTATTCCATCTAATAAAAGCCAGGGTACTCGTTTTTTTTTAAAAATAAATATCTACCAATATATCAGAGACCTGCCAAAGATACCATTTGCACAGCCCGATCCGAATTTTTTAAAATTTTTTTCGGTCCGGCCCGGGTTTTATATTTTTAAACCCGCCATGGCCCGGATTTTTTTTTAAAGAATATTACATTTATTTTTAATTTTTATAACTAATAATGGCGATTTAAAATATTCGTTTTTAAAATATATGACCCGATCTGGCGCTGATATTTAAAAATTCGTAATGAACATTCCACTATATGGAAGTATAATATTTAATGTATATAAAAGATTCACCGTAATGTCTCACCAACCACCTAGCGTCGAATTTTTCCTAAATTTGATGGATTCCTACAAGCACAAACCAATATTTTACGATAAATTGGTGAGAAGAGGTCGCCTTACTTGGGCAAAATATTTTAGCCGCCCTACGGCCATCGCTAGAACCTGCGCTCATATCCTGAAACAGCGGCTGTTCCCTTACGGCGGGAGGAAATACAAGGATTGGAATAGCGATAAATACTGGGAGGATAAAAGTTTTTTCGAAGAACCTACAGCTGTTTCTACTCCTTATACAAATAGTGATGCTAAAGGAACCTTACACGAGTTCTGTGGAGATGATATTAGGTATACTAAAGATGGAACGTATCACAATAGTTTTAAAAAGGTTTTATTTTGTATTATATATTTTTAAACGTTATTGAAACCTTCCATAGATAATTGACCACCTCTTTGATGTGGCAAAAACACTTCTTGGTTGGTTTCATGTCAGTGTATAAATTTGGTTTTATTAACTCAAATGTTATCGTCACTAGGAATTCCTATCAAAATGAAAAATTTATACTATATGCATTTTATTATTTGAATATTCTCACCCTTTTAGACGTTTGACTACGATATAAATCCAATCATTAAATTCGCTCCGGAATACAATAATCACCTTCAAAATAAATCATTCCGCGGTGGCGGGGACAAATTTTCCGCCGTGATAATCGTATATGATAGACATTTTTTAACGTCCTTGAACAGGATCATCGAAACCTTAAAAGAAGTTCCCAGTTTATCTCATATTTACTTAGTATTGAATATTGCTGGATATAACGGGAACGGACCATCGGATGATATATTTATGTGGCTTAATCGCACTCTTTCTTCCGCTAAACTGATTAAAGTAGTTCAAATATAGCTTGCATATATATACACACATAGGCGTAACAATGATTTATCCAAGGAGGGAGTTCTCCAAACCCTTATTTTCCCGGCCTCCTCCCGGGTCATGTTCGTTCCATATTTTTACCAAATTCTGTTTCATATTTCCTATTCTGATATCCTGAGGAATAAGAATACGTCATAATAATTATATGGGATAAAAAAAATTTAAAAAAATATACGCCATCTATTGATAATATATTTATTTAGGATTATGTTCTCACCTTCTCGTTCCATCGATAATGGAAATAAACTTATAAGACAGATTTCATTTCAGAAGCTTTTATTCTAAAATAGGCGTTTAAAATTACTTTTATTCACAACTAGATTTTGAACCCCCTCCAAAGATCCCGCAATAACCGTTTCAACTCATTTTTCTCAAATCTTAATCTCAGTGACCCGACCCAAGCTATATTATCGTTGAATCAAGCAACTTCTAACTTATTGTTGACAAATCGGGAGATAGAGATCGCGTTTCAAGTTTGGAAACAATTTCCAGACAGGGTTTTATTTTATATTAGTTTACTATTATTTTTCCTTATTTTTTTTTAACTAAAATTTACTAAGAAAATTTTGTAATTTACTAATAAACAAATTTGTAATTTACTTTTATAACAAAAAAAAAGGGAGAATAACTTTTACATTTGATATTATTTTGTTGATCAAATTTTTAGTTTTATTTTACCATGATTATTTGTTTATTTGTTAATTTTTTATAACTTGAACTTTATATCTCCCATAACTAACAGCCTTAGAAGTTTTTTTTAAACATTCTAGACTAGATAGTTACCTTTAAAATTGTTAGCCTTATAAGTGAGCATCTTGGTACGAGTCCAATTCCAGACGCTCTCCTACCAGTTTTAGCGTATTTGTGGGGAGGGGGAGGGTTATTTAGTCTTCGTTTAAGCGTTCTTTGTAATGTACCATCCCAGTTTTAGCGTATTTGAGGTATTTAGTCTTCGTTTAAGCGTTCTTTATAACGTTCCATCCCAGTTTTAGCGCATTTAGGGAGGCTTATTCAGTCCTCGCTTGAGCGTTCTTTTTTAAATTTCAACCCCAGTTCTTATTCAGAAACGGTTTAAGCGATTTTATAATGTTCTTCTTCTTGGAAATTTAAAGGCGAGACGAACTTTTAATATTCACAGGTGATCCAAAAGAAGGCTTCTACCTTCGACAGAGAATATCAATTTAAATCTGTCGTTCTAACTGCATATCCATAAGCCTCGATCTTAAATTATTTTTTTTTATTTCCCTTCTTTTAATTATATATTTTTATATAGATTTATGATCATTTATAGTCAGAATAACTTATATTTTCAAAATTAATATAAATATAATATAAATTTTAAAATGAAGATTTTTAATTGATTATTTATATATTTTAAAATAAATTTTAAATATTTATTCAAAAAACATGTCTAGTTTGTAAATTTCTTACTATCCTGTTTTAATTTTTAAAAGAATGTTATCGATTATATTATTTTTTAAGATTATAAATCCAAGGTCTACTTACCCAATCCAAACGTACAATAAAAGTTACGAAGGACTTTTAGATATATCGAACGACGCCATTTTTATTCATAAAGTTAAATTTGTTTTTATTTTTGAATTTGTAAATATATTTTGTCAGCTAAAAAAAAAATGGGGGAAAAACAAACTAACTAAATTTTGATGTTTTCTATTTAAACTTCTTTTTTAAAATTTAAATATAAAAAAAAATGAGAAAATCCGACTTTGAAATTTTGATAATAAATAAAATATATAATAAATTTTTTAATAAAGAAAGAAAGAAAGAAAATAAAGAAAAGGAAGAAAGAAAGGCTAAAATAAAACAAAAATCGCTACGTGCCAATTAGAGATTTGCAAAATTAGGCCCAGCCCGAACTTGGGCGGCTTCCTATTTTTTAAAAATAAATTCGGAACGGGGCCGATTCGGGCTAAATTAGGACTAATAAAAAAAATGGCTGGGGTCTAACAATTTTTAAAAAAAAATTATTTCGGGCCAGGTTTGAAAAATCAGGTCAGATCCAGATCACCTGCCAATTACTTAATTTTGCACGTGATCTTAATATCTATCCATTTTTTTTTTCAAAGCTAACTCAAAAACTTCCTAATTTTTTTTAAAATGTTAAGTAGTAAACGTAGTACCTCAGCAATCACATATAATTCTAGACTAATGATTTATTCATTTAAATATGTTATCAATGCAAATCAGCTGGTTTCACGGCATTTTGGTTTGTCTGTGTAAATTTATTTATATTTTTATCAGTCAAGATAACCATATGTCTATGGTTAGCATTAACAGTACTCCAATAATTAAGAGTCCATGTATTCAAAAACTATTAACATAAATTTATCCGTCACATCATTTTATGGGGATCGCTAAATTATTTTGTTTACTTTTGGCAGGTTAAAGTCACATGATGAAATGTTTATTTTGTTTAAAAATAACCTAAAGCATTTCTTTCATTTGTACACCTATCGAATGGATCCCGAGATCAAACGTTACATAGATAAGGTTGGAAATTGTGAAGATATCGCCATGAACTTATTGGCGCTTCGCGTGACGGGTAACACTCTCCTGAATGTAAGAGTACAATATTTTGATAATCACATGTTTTTTTTAAGTTTCGGATGTTTTTAAAAAAAAAATTATATTGTATACAATGACATATATAATACCATAACTGACGATTCATTCATTAAAATGCGTTTTTAAGGGTCGTTAAAAGCAAATCAGCTGGACCCGCCATTTTGGTAACCCTCATGATAATTATTCGCATGTTAAAAACTACTATTAAATTGGTAACTTGCTTCTTTAATTATCTCGAATCAGACAATTCTTTAATAAAGTTTGCATCAGATATAGGAATAAATTAGGCTCTCGTTTAAAATTTTAATAATGATTACTGTAAACAAGATGTCGTCCCCAGCTGATTTGCATTGATGTACACTTTTAATGAATGAATCGTCAGTCTAGGTTTATTATATGTCATTGATTGTATAATATAATATAACTAAGTATATAAAGCAGACGATAAATTTTTACATTCGAAATATCCAAATTCATAGAAACGATATTTCTTGTAACGCGCAATTTTTAGGTTTTCTATTTGACACCCACTTGAACTCTCTACATCCTTCACCTTGAATTCATAGTGGCGCGATTGCGATCGCGATTTAACAGCTGATTGTTTTTTTAAATCTGTTTATGAGATCAATTTTTATATTGATTTTATCTTTAATTCAAATTTTAATAATAATCTAAGAAATAATGATTTTAATAAAGATCAATTGATCTCATAAACAGATTTTAAAAACTGTCAGCTGTTAAATCGCAATTGCGCCACTCTGAATTCAAGGTCAAACGGATCATTAGCTAGGAGTTTTTTCTTTAATATACCCAAAAATTATTTTTTTTAACCAAGTGAATTATAGGGGAGGGCCTTTGATTTTAAAATATTTATGGTATTTTGGTTCATTTTCGGTCAAAATGGACGATATTATTATTCGTATGAATTTATAATGCAGGTAATTATCCGATTTATGTATTTATTTAATATATCAGATAATTCCAAGTTTTTAACAATATTTAAGATATAATCCTATTAAATAAGCCAATCAGAAAAGTGGACCAATTTACTATCAAATGACTTTCCGATCATAGTTAGACAAAATCATCGGCAAGGAAAATAAAAATTATTATTTTTTGTTTTAAGATGGAAAATTAAATCTGAATTATTCAACAAAAATAATTCTTTTTTTAAAATATATAATTGATATTGATCTGTAACAAACAAATATTTACTTTAACATGGACATTTAGATTAATTTTTACAAAATCCATTTAACTCTTCTAGGTGCGATTCTCTTCGAAACTAAGATGCAACAAAAGATGCAAGAATCTCATAATCGACAACAACGATCAAAGGGAATTGAGAGAGCGCTGCTTGAAAATATTTTATGGTTACTTTTTTGGAAATCTTGAAAAAAGTATATTTTAAAAGAATATTTATTTCATGTTTTTTTTTACAAATATAATCCCAAAATTAGAGGGGCGGGCTATCAATCATCAATAAAAATCTAGACCCTGGTCATGGCCATAAAAAAATTTAATGCTGCATTTCATTCCTATTACTCCTTTTTTTTTGACTTGACTGACTATCGGAATTATAAAATGAATTTAAGAGAGAAATAAATGGAGGAGGGGGGGGGGAGTACAATTTTTTTAAAAATTTGTATTTTATAAAATGTCGGGCCGCGCCCGGAAATGGTTCAAACCTAGACCTGGGGAAACTAAAAATGCCATTAATTTTGAAAGATCCTTAGGAAAGTTTTTTTTACTTACTTCCACTAATTTCAATTCCTGGGCATAGATTTTCTCAGGGCCAAAATTAGAACCTTGATTATAAAAATTTTCTAAGGGGATGATTGAACTCAGATCTCGATATGAAAAAATTTAAAATTATTTTGTTTTCCTAATTATTATTTTTTTTATCTTTTATGCATGAAAATTATAAAAGATTATGGCCATTTTTAGGTAAAATTTGATCTCAAAAGATTTTTTTTGTAGATTTATTTCTAAACTCTGGATTCGTATACGCTTATAATTTTGGATATTTCGTTGAAATATCGGGGCAGGGTGGGGTGGGGTTGTTTTAAAACAGTTTAATAAAAAAATAAATAATTGAACTGGACCTATTTTTATTAAAATTTCGAATGTGGTTTGGGTATAATTTTTTTTTATAATTTTTCTCGGATCAACCAAATAATTTTTTTTTAAACTACAAATAAAATAATATAGGCAAATCGATAATCTCCAAATTCCAATTCTCTCCACTAGAAATCTAATATGTTTCAACGAATCTCAAATATTTTTTTATAACAAATTATATTATTATTTTATTTTATATATTAAGAAAATTTACATAAACCTTTTTATAGAAATCAAATTTATTATTTTTTTTAAAATAACATTTTGTTGTTGCTGATAATTATTAAAATGAAACTGTGATATTATTATAATATAATACATAATAATTTATAATTATATATAATCTTTATTTTATTCTGAATTATGTGATCCAATCGGTAACCGCATATTACGTATTCTCCGTTTAATGGCGATTTCTAGGATGCCCAGGCTCTTGCATTTTTGAACGTCCTGAGCATCAATATATGTAAGATTCATTTTTTCCATATCCTCCGCTATCACCTTTATCCATGTCATCTTGGGCTTACCTCTAGGTCTTGATCCTTCTACTTCCATCAAGGTGCACCTCTTTACCCAGTCATCTTTTGTCTTACGCTCCACGTGCACAAACCATCTTAGTCTATTTCTTTACATTACCACTCCAATCACTTCTATACCCATTCTTGCTCGCAATTCCTTGCTAGTTTTTCTCTCTCTCATAGACACCCCACACATCCATCTAACCATCCTCATCTCTATTCATTCCAATTTGGCTTCCTGAGCCGCTTTCATTGCCCATGTTTCGCCGCCATAAACTAATCACTCTTCACATAGCTTATGTAAACTTTCACCTTTAAGACTTCAGAGAGGCGTTTTTATTTGTTAAAATAATACCTATTCAATGTATTATTGAACTAAAATAAAAAATGGTATCGTGAGTTTCTGGTTAAGCTGTCTAAAATTATTTTCTATTTTAAAAAATTTCTAAAAAAATTGTATATAAAATCGGGAAAAATAGCAAATTAACTGGTGTTTTGGCATCCACAAAAAGTGAAAATTCAAGACATTATTCCTAAGTTTGGGGGTCTGCCATGCCTGCTTATTTTAATTACATTGAAACTTACTTTATAAACTTTTTAATAAATTTTTTGAGATTTTAACTAATTACTTGCTACTTTAACAAAAACTAGAAATTCAAAATGGGCGTTTTGCTTTCAAGAAAATATTGGCAAATTAAATATAAATGATAAACCAATTTCTTTACCGTTTAAAAATATATGTCTCTATTAGATAAATTAACTCGAAATCACGTTTAAACAAAGCGTTTCAAATATAATATTTAAATTAAAAAAAATAATTTAATCCATATCATTTAATAATTTTTTTTTTAAACAAACGGAATAATTATAAAAAGAAAATAGCTTTTTATTTAATTTTGCATACAAATTCTGCCCGGAATTACTCTTCTGGTACCGTGGGCGTATCGCATAGGGATCACCATTCGCTCGGTAGGCCTAGTGGTGATCAGCGTAGATTGGATAATAAAATGTAGGAGACTTTGGTAGGGAAGAATAGTTGAAAAAAGGGAGTTTAAAAATGATTTTGAAAAATTTTATATGCATAAACTAAAAAAAAAAAAGGGCCCAAAAAATACACAAATATGGGAAAGGTGATCAAGGGGTTGGGCATTTAAAAGAAATACATGTGGAAGCTGGTAAGAATTCCTATAGTTTAAAATGCGTTTTAAAATAAATTTTCTCCAACTTGCAACAAATTTGAAACTAAATATTAAACGCGTTACCAATTTATTATATTAAATAATTATACGTTATAATATTCGAAATAAATGAAATCACATTTTTAAACAAAACATTCTATTATAAATATTTATAAAAGCAAAACCTTTATAACTTTAAAAAAAACAAAAAACTATGCAAAATATATAGCTCTTCATCGAAAACATAATATAATTAATAAAAAGGGGGATATAATATATAGCATTATGTTCCAACGTTATCAATATTCTACTTTTCTTCATTGTAATCTTCGGGGAGAGTGGCAAATACATCTTTGCGTTTTCTATAATCTGGTATAAACTTCGGAGCAGTTTGACCCGCTTTTGTATTAATTATCGTGAACATGGTCTATATTTTAATAAAAGAAAATAAAATTTTATATAGGGTTTGTTTACAATCAAAACCACTTCAATTCATAGGCTCTGTAAATATTATTTTTTTTCTATAAACATAGATTTAAGCTTATATGAGATCATAAATCTAATTTGAAATTATTTAGCAATATATACATTTTTACAAATATTGAATAAAGTTTTTCAACTCTCAACCCTATCAATATTTTCTACATATAAATATTAAATTGCAACTTTTCCCCAAATTGGAAAAGTTTATTATTCTTTCCTTATATTTATTGTGCGAATTACAACGTTATATTTATATATTTTTTTTTATATAAATAGGGGTTTGGGTAAAACCTATTTCTGTCTCTTTCAGGTCTCTATATCATAGTTTCCTATTTCCATTTAAATTGTCAATGGAACACAAATTTTACTTATATAAAAGGCAGCTCTCGTATACTTGCATATCCGGGTAATAAAGGTAACGTGGCGATAAACATCTAGCCCTTATTATACACCCTATTAATGATTTTTTGTTATAAATAGATCTGTGTAAGAACATCAGGTCCCGATCAAAGGTGGACTGGCGATGCTGCGGCAGCGTGGGCAATTTTTTATTAGCGGTCTCATTTTTATGGGGAAGGACTCTCCCTAATACCGCCCATATATATGATATGAGCTTTTACCAGACCTTCGACCGGACCCCCTTTAATGGCTTATTCCTACTACATATGGTTAAGCATGTATAAAACGATGGGTCAACTATTGCAGTTATTACATTTTATTGAGAATTGCGCATAAAAAATATAAAATATTCGTTTTTGTTAAAAATGTAAATGGCGTACCTCAACCGTTATATTTCTTCTTTTGATAACAGTAACAGTTTTACAAATAAAGTATCCAAACCTCATGATATAGGGTCAAAGAATCTCATAATAGACGCGTAACAAAGGGGGAATCCCAATCCCCGCCCATAGTAAATTTGTCTTTTCTCGTAATTATTGTTTTAAGCGAATAATAACCCCCCCCTCACCCTACACTCCCCCCGCCCTTATCTACCTTTCCCCCAAAAACGTCTAGAATATATTACTATAAAGAAGAAGTTGAATAGAAAAATTAAAAAAAATTAATAGCTTTCAAAAAAAGACTATAAAAATTTTTTAGAAAAACCAAAAGCCTACAATTAGTGAACCTAGAGACCTCCAATAAAATTTAAGGCGAAACAACCTGCCAATTCGTGCATCCTCCTGGATATGCCTATCTGTTAGAGACACATATTGAACATTGATTATATTTGTTATTGCATTTGATCGGACATTCATTATCACAAATTATTGTCAGTATTTTCATTTAACCCGACTATTAAATATATGTAAATATTGGGAAATTCGTGTCGTAATTTGTCACTGAACCCTGAATATATTTTAAGTAGAGAAACTTTTTCCAGTTACTTTTCAAAAATATATTTGATAATATTAGTATCAATATTTTTATCAAAATGCTTTAAATACAAATATTTGTATCAATATTTTTATCAAAATGCTTTAGATACAAATATTTCCACATTCATTATAACTCTTTGTTCACCGAAGTTCGGTCAAGCTATTTATAATTTGATCCATAGTGTGAAACAGTATTGAGGTCAATAGGATCTGCTTACACGTATTTTTGCATTCATCACTGTATATGATCCTTGTTAGACTTATTCAATTTTTATAGAACATCTTTAGATCAAGAATCTACCCTAATTTAAATTTGAAGCCATTTTTATATCTTTTGAATATGTGAAGGTTATAAAAGGTACAGAAGAACAGCTTAGAACATTTTCCTAGCCGATAAAATATATAAACGTTTGGTTTGAAGATATAATGAGAGCTGCTTAAAATTTCCAAAAATTTTTTTATAGTTTTAACTTTTTAAACTTGAACAGATTCTAAATCAATCAATATCTACTGATGATAAAGTTTCCTCCTCAAGCGATCCACATATATCTAAGGGCATTTTTAAGGTGCCCGCTACTTAGTTTCACCTATTTTTTTGAGCCTTCGCTGGTTACTTTTGGCCAAATAATTTTTTTAAAAAGATAGAGCTCCATTCTTTTCTAGTTCAACTAATAACTATATTATCTCAAATTTTTTCTTTTATTATATGAATATTATTGAGTATCTGTCGATTCTATTTCATCTATTATTTTAAAGCTAACTTGAATTCTATCTTTTTTTTTAACTATAAAATTAATGTATAAAAATGTAAATTAATTCAACTTTGAGTTGATTATATAATTGCTAAAAAAATGAAAATATATTAAAAAAATAACTTTTAAATATATAAAATATGTGAATGCGATAAAAGAAAAGCCATAAATTGTGATTAAAAAAAAATATATATATATTTTATATATTTCTTTGATCGGCCTTGGACATTTCTTTGCTAGCCAGTTCGCCTTTGATCCTGACACTTTTGATTTGCAAATTGTTAATGAAACTACTTAAAATTAAAAACCCAAGGTTAGATTTAGTATGACCAAAATTTTTTTTCTTCCTCTATCATTTTAAATACAGGCTACTAAACTGATTAAAACATTCCTAAACACTAATAAAGCACTAAATTATTCATATTAGTATAGATCTTAGAATAAGAAAATGTCTCTACGTTTCGTCTAACTTTAGGGAAACACATCCTAACATATTATAAAACTTGGGCAAAATAAAATTTACAAAGAAGAAAACACAAAATATTATATACAAAAAATTCCATAAAATTACGATTTACAGTGGTACCATTCTAAAGTCCGAACAAAAGGAGTGAGATTTCGGGGAAACGTTCTTCCCCAGCATATCATAAACCCCCCATAAAAAATTAAAAATATGGATTGCCACTGAAATGAACAAAATTTTTCTTAAAATACTTATCTAGCCCTCTTTTCCCTCAATATGTTTTTAATTGCGAATCTAATTTTAAAATTCTTTATCCTATAAATTTTTAAACTAAAATATAATTTTTGAAATGATTTTTAATTTCTATATTACTTAAAAAAATTTTACTAAAAATTTTACTCCATTTTTAAAAGCATAGAAGCCATTAAAAATGAGAAATTAGCATAAAAATTTATTATTGGCATCTTGAATGCATGCTTCTGACTTCCATCATTGGTTTTATAATAACGCCAAACAAACGAGATGAAAAAAAAATTAATTCTTTTGTGCTTTGAAAACAGATTCTCGAATCAACCAATATGCCCCTTTATATCGCTCGAGGCTTTTGGCATTACAACAGTGGGTTCGATTCGGGAATTTCTCTTCATTATCTAATTTTCCAGGACAATTTCTCCGCCTCCCTCTCTCCAATTGGTATATTTGTAATAATAGTGTAAATAAAGGTAAGTAACATAACCAAAAGTCCAAATATTCATTAATGATATTAAAGTGTTTAGGGTAAGATTTTATATAAAATTACTTCATCTTTATTATACGTATGAGAATGGCTAATAAGTTCAGGCACTACCCATACTTTACGAGTTCTCATATTTTTCGGCGGGGTATAGTCGTACTCCTCACACATTCGCCCCAAAATATTGATACATATCAAAATAAACACAAATTTCACGTAACGACCACCCATTTAGAAAAATATTGAACGCGATTTATATAAGTTAACGTTGATGGTTTTATAAAAACACAAATATCAAATCAATTTTTGACGATAGCAAATTTTTTTTATTTTTAAATAGCTGTTTTGTAAATTAAATTACGTATACCAAAAAAATTATTTAAGAATTGTTAGAAACGTATCTTAAAATGATTTAATCAATTGTTAAATTCATTCGTATTCTTCTTCAAATTTAATACGATTTCATCTATAAATTACCTAAGCAAAATTAATATTAGATTATAGATTATGTCATTATTAAATGATCTAGTCCTAAAATTAGAGGCGAGGATACCTAGTATTTCTTTAAAAAAAATTGATAAGGTCCTTAACTGAGCGCAAAATGAATATGAGGTTTTTTTCTGTATTAACTTGAGGCAAATAAATAATGATTAAATGAGCCTGATATTTACCATAACTATTTTTTTTTTCCGATATTTTTATAATGGATATTAGGATATTAATTATCACCTCTGCATCTTGATATTCATAGAAGTTATTCTTAAAATTTATTTCTGCGAATCTAATTAGGTGTTAGCCCAGCTTTCGATCAAACAAGGTCGCTTAGAATTTCTCCCTTTCTATACCATTACCCGCCTTTCTTATCCGTATTCATTTTAAAAGAGATCATTAAAGGAATCTATATGAAACTTCCTGTGACATTTGGAGGAAAGATTTTATGCCTTTGATCTTTTCCGCAGTCTACACCATAAAGAAACGACTCAATTAACTCTCTTCTGGACAACTTTAAGAATTTGGGAGTAATAATTCCTATATTAAAGACACTTCGTTAAAACTCTAGATAAGCGGCTATAACTTAGCTATTCTCTATCTATAGACCTTTAGGGCGAGATTTAATGGCATAGAATAAACTCCTGACGGGAGGTGAGGTGTAAAGAAAAGATTATGCATGATAGACAGAGTTGACTGGTCCCATAGCTGCTCCTCGTTTTATCTAGATAAAGATCAAATTGGTTGTTAGTTTGATGGGTGACGATTGTCAGGACGATATGAATCTATTTTGCGCTTTCCTATAGGGGGGTAAATGAAGAAAATTTGAAGTTCCTAAGAAGTGAGATTTATCAATTTAAAATTTAAGAATTAATTAGGAAAGCAATCGAAAATCAATACATTTCAAATACATTAAGGGTCTTCTTTTCAATATATCCACAATCTTTATAAGATATTGTTTGTCTTCTTTTAGGTTAGCGCAATAGATATAGAAATAAAATAGTTAAAATCTCATCAAAGCCTAGCTGAGATTTTTGGAGACTCGGATCTAAGATAAATTTGGCTGCCCTTTAAAACCATCAAAAAAATCATATAGTAATTACCATTTTTAAAATAAGATTCGTGAAATATGCACAACTTAGAATATAAAATGAGTATTATTTATACAATATATTATAATCAAATATGAATAATTTCTTATTATAAATGATTGAGAAACAATTTGTGCACACCTACAATTAACCAATTTTTGGCGGTTCCAAGGTCTCTGCTTCCTCTCCTTTCCCGTTTGCTCGAACCTGAATCTCATATTTTGAAACAAGTTAAATTTGTTAAAATTGTATATAAAAAATCTGAATGTCATATCAAGACACAATCGATGTTTGCCGTATTTTTGAAAGTCACTAATCCTAAAGCTTAGGCAAATATGTAATGCGTAAACCAGTACATTTTTGTTTAAACGATTCAATCAATCCTATTGGGAAACAGCAAAAAAAAGTAAAAATAGTTACTATAGTTATACTGGCGAAATAAGAAAAATTTTCTAAGATTGGAATCAAGATTTCGGAAAAGATAGCAAACTATAGAAGATAAAAGCATTGTATAAATTTTTTTTTACCATTATTATTATTATTATAAAAAATTAACTTATTATACTATTTTGAAATACAAAACTCGATGTCTCTAATTGTATCTTTGATCAATTTTCGAATTTAGCCGCGGTAGCGAATAAAGAAATCAAAAAATACTTATGACATCTTCGGAGCATGTCATACTCGAATAAAAGGGATTGGTGGAGAAATTGAAATACACTGTAACATATAATTTTTTTACCCTCAATCCCCTAAGTTAAACTGGTTATTTGGTAAGATGATAAGTATGCGCTTTACACTTAGAAAAAGAAAAGGTTTAAACGTCAATCCCATGTGAATAATAGCATCTTTAGGAAGCATTCCGTTTAAAAAAAAATTATATAAGAATTTATAACAAATTTTTTTTATATGAAGGTTTGATAAAAATTAACCGTAAACCTAATAATATTATTTCAAACAAAAATTCTAGGATGATTGTATAGAAATAAAACATTAAGGAGTGGGATTGATTTATCAATTTAAAAGAATGGTAAGCAAATTTTCGTCTAGATATAAATATAAAAGTATTATGAAAACACATTTATTTTTATACCTAATCATATTTTCCATAGTGAGTTTCACTCCCCTCCCCGTATCTACACTTACTGTGTAATAACAATTTAGAATCTCCAATGCAGATTATAACCTACAGACAAAACGTATGTTTGGGGCCTATATGGACCCTGAGCTCTTGTAGGGGTCAATTAGTTTTAATGGATATTATAGAAAAAAAAACTATCTTTTTGCGGAGTACGAATAATATTATCAATTTTTTTCCATTAATTAATTAAATCAAATTACTGGGAAATAAAATTACCATATTTGTGATATATATTAGACAAAAATTATATATTTATATAAAATAATTTAAAGTGTAAGTATATAAGTGTTATTGTATTTGCGGCATGGCCTATTAATCCAATTTAGAATTGACGTCTTTGAGGCTCATATTACTTTCGGTAAAGCATTTTGAAGAGTTTGCAGTTCCCCTTTGAAATATATTAAATATTTTATGTATAATTAATTCACGACACTTAAATTAAAATATAATCAAAATGATGATTCGATTAAATTAAATAAAAGGATTGGCTCCATCCAAGTTATCATTTCTAGTGGTATCAATAATAAATTTTTTTTGATTGTTTTACTAATTTGCAACAGTGGTTTTGTATAGAATGCAGCTTATTCAAAATTATGTATAATAGCATATTAGGATTATCTTTTACATTTGATATCGTTGAAAAACGAATTAATATTTTCCTTGTTATCCAATATTTCGATATTTTGGGTGTAAGGGTTATAACGAACCGAAAAGTCACGTGGTATTGTAGCTGCGTATGCCCTAAGGTAAACATAAAATAATAAAAAAATAAATATTTTATTTCCTTTTAAAAGATAATTATTTAATTTATTTTTGAGAATTTATTTTTCCACATTTTTTTTTTGTTTCTTTTATTTAGGTTGTGTCAAAATTTATAAATTTTTGCAAATTAATAAAAAAAACATTTAAAACACAGCTTTAAAAAAACAAATAAACAAAAAATACGAAAAAAACAAAAACACCAAAATAAAATACGAAAAATGACATACTTTATATTACCTACTAGTTTTTTTCATAAAAATTACCCAAATAAATAAATTTTGAATAAATTTTTATTTAAAATTTATTAATTTCTTATTATTATTTTTTTAAATAATAAATTTTTGTAATTATAACTGATATAATGTATTATGAAAAAGGAAAGGTATAGATGACACTCTAAAATAATCAAATTTAAGTAAAATAAATCCTGGCCCGGTATGGGCTAGTGATCTTTTGGTGGATTATGCGCTAAAAAAATTCCTGTGAATTTTTGAACATTACAATACAATTACAATAATAATAAATAAAAAAGATGATCTTTGATTATTCATTTATTTTAGCCAAAATTTTACCAAGGATTTTTAATAATTGTTTAATTCATTTCAAATAATAAGGTAATCAGAGATAAAATCTAACTTCAAATAAGATACATTTTAAATCTTTAGGCTAATAATTCAGCTGTTTAATGGTTTCCCCATCCCCTGTATGGATGAATATATATTTTAAAAAAAATTGTACATCAATTTATCCTTCGCATCGGTAAAACTATCGGTGTAGAAGTATAATGGTTGATATTTAGTTATCGGATAGGGTTGAATCGCGGTTTTGAACGGATCAAATGGCCTGATCTCTGGCTTTTCGGATAAGGCATACTTTTGTAAAAAAGGATAAAATTACAACATTAAATAATGCAAAATTTTTTCATGCCCAAAAGAGAAAAGACTTTAGGATCATTTAAAAAAATATTATTAACGTATAGAGATCTTTGCGACCTGGATTCAAACACCACACCCTAGTACCGCGCTAGACTATGGGCTAAGCCAAACCGTTCACCCTCTATAATATAATCAATAGTCAGAGATAAGCAAAGTTGTTGGCAGGTATTAATTTTACTCCAGAGATGTATGAACAATAATGATAACCCGCTTTCTATAAACAATATTTGTTGCTGCGGCACCATTATAATATGGTGCTGAGTGTCCCACAAAAGTAGCTATCATAACTAAAATATATCAAACTGAAAAAAAATTAGGTGGATGATAAATGGCCTGAAAGACCAAAAACTAGGGCTGATTACTTTGCAGAAGAATATGGATATACATATTTTGACCTTATACTCTAGCATCGACTGAATTGGGAGGCCATAAGCAATGTGTAGACAGATGCAGATCGAAAGGACAATTAACAGATTATTATTCATAATAATATACGTTTTATTCTTGTTATAACCTTTCTGATTTAACTTATAACATTTCTTACTTATTATTTTTATTTCGATATAACTTTTCTTGTTTTTTTAATATTCAAATTATATTATATATATAGAAGTTATTTCGTGAAAAGTCAATTAAAATATAATATTTTTTTGCAAATATTTTTGCGTTTAAATAAGTCAAAATATAACTTATCCAAAGCTTCCAAGAAGCTTTACAAGGACCTAAATTAAGTTTAACAAAAGTGGTGGAAAAAACTACAACTAGTTTGCATGAATCAGCTGTACGATAGGAGACTTTTGGAGAGCTCGTGCTTCTAAAACAAGTACTAATTCTTTTTCATATGCATTGTACTTTTTTTCTTTCTTTTCAACAACCTTCTTAATTCGAAAAAAAGGCGTAACTCCCTAATTAAGCTCACCAGTCTCGAAAGACTTCTAAAACAACTCTTGGTCACGCAAAAATAAAATAGGGAGTCATACGCTACCATTTTATATTATTTAAATTCCTGATAATCTCACCCGTCTCACCTAATTGTAAATTTTCTATTTTTATTTTCTCTTTAGCTTTCACCTTTTCTGGTGGTAAGCTCCTTCAACATCTCTCTCCACTTTATGTTATTCATACAATCTATTGCATCTAATTTATACTTCTTTATATTGGCTCTAACTTTATGGCCCTTTTGAAGCTTTGGCCTTCCTCTTTTACGTTTGCCCATCACTTCCAAACTCTCAACCTTATTTCCTATGTAGTTCATAGGAGGACTTCTCATTTTATATATTAAATAAATATATAATTTATATATGTATTAAAAATAAATTGATACTTGCAACTCTCCAAAGGAAGATAGAACTCCAGCGCCATAAGCTTTCATTTCGCCTTTTTGCTTACAGAGTCCGAACTCAACCGTAAACCAATAACACTTAAAATTAAATAAATTGATAAATTTTTATTATAAAATATTATTAAACGTTTAATTTGCCTATATAATATTTCATTTTTTTTTGGTCATATTTAGCTTCAAAACAAGTTATAAAGAGTTAAATATGTATGCTGTGATTCTGTTAGACTTGGTGGGAAACTTTAAACTAATAACGTTATCATGATTAGTGTTGTTAAACGGCTCGTTTTGAGCCTATTTTTAAAAACGGCTAACTCAATATTTCATCCAGAATAATATTACGCAAGACTGAAGATTTTGCTTGTAGAAGGAACTAAGGTTTTGACATCTATTGGCGAAATCTCATGGCTTAGGAAATATTTTTCTGGGAAATATTGAGTTAGCCATTTTTAAAAATAGGCTCAAAACGAGTTGTTTAACAACACTAATCATGATAGCTCCCTAAAAATTTGCAGATTATATTACTGTTGACAATTTTTCTATGTATTCATCCGCGATTCCAAGGCTTGCGAGACCAATTTCTTGAGAGAACTGCGCGAAGCTGGGATTGGCGAACAGAGGTGCGTGGCCAAGTAGTTCATGGCATACATCACTATTAGTTTTAATAAATTATAAACAGTTTGTGATCCGACATATTAAATAACAATTTTTAGATATCAATTTACTGTAATACAATCACTAAAAGTGATAAATGAAAGTCATTAAATATAGCAGAAATAATATAAAACATATATCTTTAAATTAATTAGGCGAGAGTTGTGCACATGCGCAAACCACTCTAGAAAGCTATTGAGATGGGCCCCCTCTTCCGTTTACTAAAATATAGAATTGATACTGACTATGTATATTTACTGAGGAGGATGTCTATCTAAATAATTCCAATAATTTGTTTAGAGGTTTGAAAGGCATGGTCATTAATATTGCAATACAAAATCCGACCACTCAATAAAATATGTAAACAAACTTTAGCCCATTTTTGCCCATTCCGATAAAATAACAATCATTTTCTTTCCTTATTTTTACGAACTTGGGCAAAAATGAGTTATAGTTTTTCAAAATATGAGACTACAAAGCTTACGGTTCGGGTGTGTACATGGGAACAGAATGGTGACGTATGTATTGCGTGCAATTAAAGACTCTGAAGGCTAATCCAGCTAAAAAGTCTCTACTTGATAGCAAACCCGCTACTGGTCTCAATGTAAAACCTGTACAATCTATATAGTATAAAGATTTTTAAAAAATAAATATTATACCACAAACTAGTTTATATATGTTTATCTAACTAACTCTATAATATTTTAACATGTACCATAGGCCTTAGACAGAGGTGGGAAGGGAGATGGATTTTTCCCTAGACAAATTTTCTTAGATATCGTTTAATCTCATCTTCCTATACACTCAACCTCTCTTCAATAAAATCTATGAGGAAAAAAAATTAATAAAGATTAACCTCTCCCTTTCCTACCTATAAAAATTATGGTTGAGCTTATGACATGTATAACAAATACGTCAAAGATATTATAAGTAGTAACATTGATTGAATGATTATTCATTACTTTTATGACTTGTTCAAATTATATTATAAAAAAGCATCTTTTCAATAAAAAGGGATAATTTAAAAAAAAAATGATGTTTATGTCCGTCAATTTGTACCAACCTTTCAAAAAATTTGACACGTCTTCCAATTGTGGTATATTGTTTTCGGTGTAACCGCAATTGTCGGTCAATAGAGGGAACACGTGATTAAATTCTCTGCATGCGTGGGTTGGATACAATTTGGTGAGCTCCTTGTATATGGTAGACCTGGGGTAAAAGAGAAATTTAAGTTATCGCATCTATATTTATTAAAGCGTTGTTTTAAATAAAATAAAACTAATTAACAAAAGACGGTTTTCTAAATGGTTTCCTAAGCCTAATTAGATACATAAACAGTTACAACGTTAGCCCATACGATACTACAGAGAGGCCAGACACAGAGGTTTTATAATATGAACCTCAAAAGCCACTAAACCATAATAAATGAGGTAATATAAAAGTTAGTGAGAAAGTATATATTATAATTTCTTTTTCTATCTATCTAATATAGGAATCTTATATTCATACTCGGATTTATTGTTAAATTTAAAATCAAATGAAAATTACCAAGTTTTTATTTCCTGTGGAGTGTACTCGACTTTAGGAATCGGTTGACCACTATAATAAAAATCATATTACAATTTATTTATTAACATATAATTTATAAATCAATTAAACATGTAACATGGAAATTTTTTTTTTAAAAGTTCCAATGTCCAGCACGCTAGGCGAATTTAAAGAGATAAAGAGTTATAACTAAAAAGATTTATTTAACAAGATTATTTAGTAAAATTATGAAATATTCATCACATTACTCTATTATTTTATATGATTTATTACTGTTTATAATCCATGGCAATTTGGGCGATTTCTTTCCTACGTTCCCTGTAGATCTGATCTTTGAATCCCTAATGATATTATATTCATTAAATAAATGGATAATAAATGCGGACTTATTCTAAATGAATATAGTTTATAACATTATTAAAAGATATGTTCGCGTTAGAGATATGCAAATTACTGCCCGAGCAGTACCCGGCTTGAGCCCAGCCTGAACGGTTTTTGGACCGGGCCGAGTCGGGTTTAATTTTTTTAAAATAAATATGCTGGTTGGGTCGGGCCCAATATTTTTAAATAAATTCTGGCTGGGCGGACAAATAATTTTTATTTTCGGGTCGGGCTTTTCGGGATAAATAAAAAAAATTTCGGGCAGGGCATGAAAAATTAGGTCCGACGTGGAACACTAATTTGCGTACCAAAATTTTTTTTATTTGGTAATATAAAAAAAAAAGATATATATTCGTAATATACCGGATGATCGGATTCCAATTCTGAACCATATGACAGAATTCGATTCGATATTTTGTCCAAATCTTTTATTTTTATAGGAAACCACGGAACGGAATCTATAACGATGTCAAACAAAATTTTTAGATGTAGGGGTAAAAAACGCTTAACCTCTTTTTTTGGTACTATACCACAGCTGACGAATCAGATATCCGCCACAAAATTTTTGATCGAATTTTAAAGGGAATCTTAAAATCATACTTATTTTGTTTATAAATAATTATTTGTGTTCTTTTCTTTTTTTTTTAAAAAAATATATAACTAATATTTATAATGCAAATTTCAAATATACATAATATATATATATATACGTTATAAAAGAAGCAAAAAATATTGATGTTAAAACTAATCATCTTCTGACGAGGCTGCCCATTAGCCCTGTGAATACCTATGGCGAATCTTTGTCTTAAGAAAAAGCCTTCGCGAAGTTCAAGAGTAAGTTTACTGAGAGCCAAGTTCCTTAAAAAAAGGGTAATGCACGATTCCCGACTCGTTTTTGACTTTAATGGGTGGTGGAACTTATCTGACATTCAATAAAGATCCGACATATGCTTGTCACTAGCATTTTCCTTGTGATCGAGACCGATATAAATCGAGCTAAAGACTAGGTCGGGCTTTGTGGACCCCTAGTAAAGAAGACGTCATATTTATTCATAAAAATATCTAAAGATTATAAACTATTAAGTAATATAAGACAGTTATCAAATATAATAATGATTATCATAAACTATCCAGCTTCCATATATTCTTCACCCCCACTAAAGAAAGCTCCATTGTTCCTCACCAACCCACGTGATGATCTCGTTTTTCCACCATCCACCAGGAAAACCTCATTCTCCTGTCAGAAAATAACTGATATTTGATGTATTATTTTAAATTTATTTCTTCTTTTTTTCAACAGCTACAACACCTAGTTTTAAAAATGCTATTTCTTAGAATCAAATTAATAAAAATATATATTAAATTGATTCTTGTTTAGTGACTTTAAACTGTTATTTTAATATTTTATAATTAATTTAAAATTTTATGCCAGCTTTTTGCAAAGAGAGTCAAAGAATGGCCAATCAGCTTAAAATTGCCATAACATGATGTAGAATGTTCATAGGAGGTTTTTTTAATAATATAATATAATTTTTAACTAAAAATAATGTATTAAAAAAAGTATTTATTTATGTTTAATATATTAATGCAAAAATAAAGGGGGAAAAAAAATACATGTATGACAAGGTGGAGTCTACGTGACCCCAAACTACAAAACACCGCTATAACTTATGTCATGAACCACCCAACAAAATCAAAAATTGATGTGCGCGTATATATATTTTACCTAAAAATATTAATTTACTAAAATGATCCAGACAAAAATATCGGAAACAATTTTAGGTAACGTATTTTCTAATGATCGGAGTCTTCATAGCCCCACTTGTGCGACGAAAGGGGGTTAAATTTATGCATGAATCTTGTATTTATCTCCTAAATTTCTAATAAAAATATAGAATTATTCTAGTCGGTTTTATTAATGCGTAAAATATTTATATCGGAGACCTGTAGACCAGCATCAAAGTCCCGATCTCAAATAGCTTTGATTAAGCTTGAGGGTAATCGAAATGGGCATTAACTGGGTGGAAATAAATATAAATTTGGGCCAGTTTTGATCGTATCATATTTTTTCCCCTCTACTAGCATTGCATATCATAAATTTAAACTGTATATCTAGAAAAAACGTTGAAAAAAAAAATTCACAATGGATCTTTTAAACAACATGAGCTTTCTCGTTCATTAGAATTCGATAAGAAACTATTGACAAAATTTAACCACAAGTGACTAAATTTTTCAAAATAGGAGGGATTGTAACGAAATTTTATTAAATTTTGCTGAATGATTTAGTCTTTTCTTATATTAGGCGTAAAAGCTTTAAACTCCTCAACCCATCTCAGTTTAAGGAGTGATTGAGTAACTATACTCTCGGGCAACTGTATATATTTTTGTTAAATATATTTTTATATATCAAAGTTTATAACTAATCTGCCCAGTGCCTACCATCCCCTCTGAATATTTGTGCTATAGGTTGTGGTTATGTAACTCTCAACTATCAAACATTAGAAATTATATTATTTTTTTTGCGAGATCGTATTTTATGTCGGGATTGCTTTGCCCACATAGTTTTAAGGATGTGAGGATACGACTTATCCTACCAAGTATCCCTTTCTTTTTGAAATAGGTTTTATAATTGTCAGCTCAAATTTTGATAATAAAACTAAACGATATGACTTACCTCTAATCCAATTTTTTAAATTTATTTTATATAAACACATCTTGAAAACCGTCAAACCTTTATAATGAGGGATCCCTTCGCTATCGCTTCCATTCACGTGACCATTTAAAATACTTTCTTCTGATAGGTGAATACCATCCGAGGCTAAGATCTTGATAGAGCCAGTTTTTTTCTTCAAATCCTCAAATAAATTTATAACGTTTTTATTTTGTTCTTCGTCTTGATCAGATTTATTGCTTGTTGGTTTATTTTCAGTGTTAAATTCGACCAAAAAATCGTAATAAGTTTTTAGCGTTTTGCTAGGCCGCGATTCGATATGGTTTAAGCTGACGTGGTGTTTCTATAGATTTTTAATAAAGAGAATTACTTTAATTTTCTTTCTTCTTTCCTTGCTTCCTTCCTTCCTTCCTTCCTTCCTTCCTTCCTTCCTTCCTTATTTCCTCTTTCTTTCTTAAATACTAAAATTGTTGTTAAATATTACTTCAAAAATTTTCAAAATTTTTGCCAAAGCTCCTATGGATTCAATCAGCGAAAAAGTGATCCGCATTCTTGGAAGTTTCTTAACCTCCAAAGCTTCTCGTATCATATTTTTGTCCCACTAATAAACAAAATGATTTATTTTTATTTTAGTTAAATAAATATCGTATCCTGTTCTTGAATCATCATTAAATAGATATCAGGATATCTTCTTTCGTTTTTTTTAAACGAAAATTTAATAATTCGATTCAAATATAACGTTCATTCCTTAGGGCATAGCCAAAAGGGGAGGGGGACGTGAGAACGCCCTCTTCCCTAAATTCCCCTTGTTTTTCGTGTAAAAATAATTTTAAGCTAAAAAAAACACCCATACCCTCTCCTCCTTCACTCATTCAAATGTCACTATAAAAAATAGTAAAAAAAAAAATTCGGAAGAAAGAAGGCAAACTAATTTAAAAAACCATACAACTCGGTAAACTGCCTAAGAGTGATTCCCCTCCATCTCCATAGCGTACTCCCTGGCTACATATGATTCATTATATTACAATAAGTTGACTCACGTGGTCCCCATTTTCTGTGGCGTGTTCCTCGACAACCGAATTTTTTTGAGTTGACACTGACATAATATTTCCCACGGATTTTTCAATCAAGCAGAGGGGTGGTTAACTTAAAAAAAAATAATCGATACGGTTAAAAAAAATAAAATAAATATTTTATTTATTTATTGCACATTATAAACGCGAAAGTTAAATTTAAAAGTATAATTGCATTTTAAAGAATAGATTTTCCAACCAGGTATTTTTTTACAAAACATTTTGCTCCTCCAGGATATAAAAATTTTTTATTTTTTCTAGTGTCACTCACTAGCATTGCCAATTTTTTTTTTTTTTTTTACATATAAAAGCAATTTTATTTTATATAAATTGGACTAATACATCGATAGAAATATTTTAAATTGTAAGGGAAAACTATTGTCATTGTTGACAGTCAATTATAATAAAAAACGTTAAAAATTTATTCTTTCTTTATGGATATTTGTTTTGGCAGCTTTTACGTATCTTTAGCATTCATCATATATATAAAATAGTTATGAATATATATTTGTTTCATTTTTTATAAGATAGATTGCGCTCCTGATATACCTTTCCATAAAAAGTAGAGTGTAGTGTTTTATTATCATTTCTTCCCTTTTTTTAAAAACAATATAATATTGGTTAATGATGCTTACTACCAAGTGAATGTATGGAAATATTTTAAATACCAATCTAATTTGCTAAATACCGACCAAAATTTTTTAAAATGTAATAAGACCCTTATTATTTAATATATTAATACGGAATCACGTGGTCGAGTCCGGCCTTCTATATATCATCCCCCCAAGGATGGAACCACCAAGTTAGAATAAGAAAAAAAACATGAACATTCCTGGGATTCGAACCCGGGAGCATAGGATAAGTAAGCCAAGCTCTTGCTTACTAGGCCATAGAGGCTTTCCAAAAATCACGATTTTTCAAATATATATTATAAATATATTTGGTAGTGCCTATCCAAATGAAAAATGAACAAAATTCAAATTTGATAGATGGTACCTTAAGGTACCAAGCATAATTAACCTATAATATTATATAAACTACAAATTAGCTTAGAGACCTTTATACACTTAGTGTTGTTAAACGGCTCGTTTTGAGCCGATTTAAAAAAACGGCTAACTCAAAATTTCATCTAGAATAATATTACTCAAGCCTGAAGATTTTGTTTGTAGAAGGAACAAAGGTCCCCTAAAATAAAGTGATTTGGAGATCTTTTCTACCTTGAAAAGTATCCTACTGATGAAGCTTAAGACTGATGAAGCTTAAGCGTTATATTTCCGTTCCTATCGAGGGCAACTATAAGTTTCTACACTTATTTTACCATTTATCCATATAATTTTTTTTAACACTAATTCTTTTAATTTTATTATATTAATATAATTTATGGTTTTTAAATTTCGGCTTTTCATCTTTTTGATAAAATTATTTTTAGTTTTTCTTTTATAAATTATCACTTATTAATATTTAAATTACGTTGCAAATTTTATTTTTATTTTTAAATATAAAAATTTATTATTTCAAATCATTTTTTAAAATTATAATTAAAAACATATGTTATATATTTATCGAAACAAAATTTTTAATTTTTAATTTTAACTGTTTCGTCTTAAATTTCACGATTGGTCAATCCATATAAAAATATGTCAAAAAAATAATAATTTTATTTATTTATCAAATAATTAGGGAACAATATTTTATAAAATCAATATATATTTTAATTTTTAAAATTAATATCAATTATCGAGATTTTGTGGAGGGGAGATAAAAAAATGATTTGTCAAAAGTTTTATAAAAATTTAGCGAAAATCAACCTTCAATGGCGTAAGGCTAATAGCCTTTATAGGTGGCGAGGGGGGGTCGTTGTGCCCAAACTGTTTCAAAACTTTTTAATCGCTCAAACGAAAACTGATGTTTTAACAGTTACGAAAAGTTTTTTAAACAAATGTTTTTCGATCAATATTTTTATTTTTTAACAATTTTAAAAAATTAAAATATGTTTTGGCGACACGTGATAAATGTAAAATTCTATCTAAAAATTAATTTATTTTTTAAAAAATAAAATCAGATTTTTCGGAATAGTGTTGTTAAACCGGCTCGATTTTTTAAAATCAGCTGATTCAATACAAAAGAAAATTACTCGATAGAAGCAAAATCTCCGGGCTTGCGTAATATTTTTTTGGCTAAAATGTCGGTCTAGCTATTTTTAAAAATTGTTTAACAACAACACCACCCTTTCGGAGGTTCTCCAAAAATTTTAGATATCCTAACTTTAAAGAAGGCCAATCCCTCTTTTCTAAAATTTATTAATTCTCAGGTTGTGTCCAAAATGTTTTGTAATTAATTTGCAAAAATTTATAAATTTTAAGAAATTTTTTATCAAAGCATTTTGGACACAGCCTTACCAAAATGTTAGAAAAATCTGAGTGCTAATAAAAAAAAAAGCAACAACAAAGGGGAAATAATTTCATGTTTAACGTCCTGCTAGTGCCAACGTTAATAAAAGAAAAATAATTTCTATGAATAAAAAAAAGTTTAAATTTACAATCAGGATATATATCGAAAAAAATTTTTTTTTTACTATTTTTTAAGGATGTAAATCGAAAGAAATTTTTACGATTCATATATTTAATTCTTCCTTTTATATTTCGGAATAAAACATTTTTTTGTTAAGATATTATTTTGAGGAGATGATTAAATTTTTGTTTATATTATTATTTTTTTTTGAATAAAAAATAGATTTTAAATTTAAAAAAAAAATTATGATGTATATAATATAAATTTTTAAATAATGTTATATAGGAAATAATATGTATGTATATATATATAAATATATCAAAGACCTGCAGACCAGGCCCTAAGCCCGTCTCGTTTACCCGGACCGGTCCGTATTTTTATTTTTTTAAATATACCCGGGTCGGTCTGGGCCTAAAAAAATTTTTTTTAAATACACGGGCCGGGCCGGATATTATAAAACCTAATTTAAATAGTCATTATTATTAGCTATAAAAATTAAATATTTTTAAAAGCATCTAGGCTGGGCCCTGAAAATGGTACCTCTGCAGTTCTTGGATAGATATATCGTCGGGCCAGAATCGGAGTGCTCCACTTGCGCAAATGTTTAAAAATGAGAAAGTCAAAATTAAAGTTTAAAATCAAATATAGGAAAGAAAAGCTTATTTGATCAATTTTGACAGATTGGCAAAAATTAATATTTTTTTTAAAATCTAGTTTTTGTTTCCACTTCTGACTCAAAAATTTTGAAAAATATCTAGTGGAGTACTCCAATCAGGCCAATAATTTTTTTAAGCTTATAAAATATCATCATTTATAGTTGTTTACGATATCATCAAAAAAATTTAATCGAAAAAGAATTATAAAAAAAACAATATATTATTTAAGGGTCAATGTATTTTATTTTTTAAGTGCGTTTTTTATATATATATATAATTTTAAAAATATCATTCTATCAAGAATGTATTCCGACATATGTTTAGGGAAACCTATTCTTTGATCTTTTGGAAAATTTTGCCATGAACTTTTGAACCTGATAAAATTTTCATCATTTATTTTTTAATAATTTTAAATTATAAATTTCTCAAAAAATTAACGGGTTGAAAGTTCATAGAGGTAGGTGGTATTTCTAAACAACTAGAATAAATTTGCGGTATCAGACTTATAATTTTTTTTTTTTAAAAAAAAAATACCTTGCTTAAAAAAAAGTAGATCAATCTTATAAATAACTAGTGTTGTTAAACGGCTTATTATTCAGCAAAATATTACGCAAGCCTGAATATTTTGCTCGCAGATGGCACAAAGGTTTGGACATTTAGCGAAATCTCAAGGAACAGACCATATTTTTTTCTGGCTAAAATTTGGAGTTAGGCCTAAAAATCGGCTCAAATCGATCGATTTAAGAACATATTGACCCGAAAAAAACCCTTTGAACGCTATAGCATATTCAATGAAAATCTCGCAAGACGAACAATTAAAAAACAACTTAAATTAACAGATTATAAATTTAATTATTACAAAAAAAAATATTTATTAAAATTAACCTCACATTTTATTTTAATGAATAGTATAAACACATTGCTTATAAAAAAAAATCATTATAATATCCTATTACAATTTCGTATATTAAGAAATAAAATAGTTATTTCTCCATTGACGACAAAAATTGAGATTTTCTAATCTCACTTTTAGTGTTTGTAAAATGGCTCGTTTTTGAGCCGATTTTTAAAAACGGCTAACTCAGTATTTCATCCAGAAATATAAGAAGCAAACCTGAAGATTTTGCTCATAGGAAGGAACAAAGGTCTAGATATATATGTTCGAAATCTTAGATTTAGTCAATATTTTTCTGGCTAAAATATTGAGATAGCTTAACAAAACTACTCACTTTTAATGATATAAAACACAAATTTATATATACAAATTCTTTTTTAAATACCTGAAAATTGATGACGGAATGATTATTGATATAATCTTTATTTTAAATTTATCAAGTATTAACTCGATATATCTTTCTTTATTAATTTATGTATTTGTTTTTATTTTTAAAATTATAAAAAAATTTTTAATGGTATATTATGCTAATTTCTTAGTAAAAAATGATAAACTAATGATATTTTCTTTTATATATTTTTTTAGAATTATTATGGTTATATTATTATTACATCATCATATTTAATTTGCATTGCCAAATGTAAATGTATATGATGTGGTATGATTTTTATCTTTCAAAAAATATATTTTTTTAAGTATAATTGTTTTTTGTAAAATGAAGGTAACCACCGAATATATTAATTAACAAAAAATATATCAATTTTTTTATATATATATCAATTATGTTTGTTTTTACTTGCCAACATTTCGTATTAGTTGATTTACTTTCTTATAACGAATATTAATATTTTATATTATACATTACCACCAATGTGCGAAAATTAGGCCATGTATAAGGGAAAGAACAGCAATAGAGTGTTACTATCCTTCTGCACTTAAGTCAGAGATTCCTATATACCCCACTAAGCCTCTGAAGTAAAATACCTTTCTTGAAATTATATCCCTCTATTCCAAAAAAGCGGCAACATCTGATTTGTTTACCCGTCTCCTCCGCCCCCCACTAACTTGCTTCTGAATTTCTACTATTTGGTTTTCTTGAATCAAGTTTAAGTACCCTTTAAGCTAATAGCAGTTAAAGAAAAAATTTTAATCCGCCCGCCACCCGCCTATTGAGAATATTTTAGCCCGCCTGACCACATCAGACCAAAGCATGAGCGGACATGGGAGAGCGGATTAAAAACCCGCTCATTGCACACCTCTAACCTATATCATATGATAGAAACAATAAAAAATTTTAGTAAAAAGGGGGTTCCTCTAATTTTGAAACAACTGCTTCTGTATATACCCTTTGTAAAATCCAAATTTCTATAAAGAATATGTTATTAAACTCGTTGGCATATGCCAAAAGAGTTGTTATTTTCGGTTTCAAAAATGATTCAATATTAAAGTTGGGTCTCCATCCTTGGAGCAAAATTCTTTAATAATATTTTTTTTTGAAAACTCTATAAAGTCTTACGTATTCTAATGGTATATTTACCTAATATCCACCCCCCCCCCCTTACTCTTGCCAATCCATTTACTTATATGATAATTTTTTCACCCTTTTATTTTTCTTAAAAATATAGCTTTTCGACGCGATAAAAAATTTCAATATTATTTCCCCTCTATTTTTTTTAAATTTTATTTCGGTAAAATTATTATAATCACAAAAGAATGAATATCAAATATGAATATATAATTTCACTATTCATTTTTTTTTTCTTCTCATTATAAATACTATTTTGACGGTTGAGAACTATCTAATTCTGATGAAATGTTTCCGAAAAAAACCTATATTTTCTAAGACTAGAAAGCTCATTTTGCGGCGAATGGGTATTATGGGTATTCCATCTTTACAGCCCAGTGATATATAATTAGTTTTTAAAAAGCGAAGAAGATCACGAATGCAGAAAACGATATTAATAAAATTGATAAAAGAATCGAGGAAAAAGTCAGGGATCAAGATCTCCACTCAAAAAAAATTAGCAGATTTTATGCCTTGTCATATGATAATGATTCCGTAGATTCTTACATTGTACCTTTGTTGGAGTATAGAGGAACAATGACAAGTATTTATAAAGCTGATTATAATAAAAATCGTGTTAAAAGAAAATTATTCCAAAATGGATTATGGATGTAGCAACCAAGTTTTCAACTATTGTCATAATCAATTTATAAAGGTGAAAAATATTTTTAAAAGGATAGGAAAAAAAATCAAATCAAATGATGATAATGGATTTGTGAATATTTTAAAGAAAAAGTCATCAAAATCGCTCAAAACAGAGGACTAAACCCGAATACGGTAAAATTGAAAAAGTTGAAAATTGAGGAAACACAATAAGGGGAAATCAAGGAATCTAAAACCAATATACATAATAATGCAAGGTAACTCCTGGGAAGATGAATCAGCCATCTCAGACTTCTAACTAAATTAGAACAAATCTATAAGGGAATTGGTGATCTAAAAGAAAAAGAGGAAAAACTAAATTAGCAAAGACTCGGAGTTCAGAAGTGGTTCATAGACAACCCTTCCTTTCCCTCTGATCTTCCTTAAGCGCCGTTAAAAAAAAGCCTTGCTTATGAAACTGATCGCGTTTCTATATATATATATATATTTTATTTCTTATATATTAATTTCTACCCTAAAATAAATATACATATACAAAAATAAAACAAAGTTTAAATTATTTTTGCTAAGTTACATTTTTTTCTTTTTTCATAGTTCATCAATTTATTATGGACAATATAACCATGGTCTACCCTAAGAATCATAGATCATAATAACTATCCATTTTTTATGTAATAACCAGATCTAGCCCATCTGGGATCCTATGAACCACAGTAGAATATCAATCTTCTTTTAATATTATTATTTTAGAGGAATTTGAAGGTTTAAATATTCATATACATTGTTACGACACAATGTTATTTAAATTTTCAGAAAAATCTTTTTTTGTTATCGAGGAAATTTTTATAATCTTTAAAAAACACAGTTGTTAATTATTTTTTAACATATTTTTGCTCTCTTTTATAACCCTATTTCTCGGATCAAACTGCGGTTAAAAAACATTATATGTATACTGTCACTATTTATTAGTCGTTTTGCTATCGCTAGGCTCGCTCTCTTATTGGTTGAAACCGATTAATTTTTAATTTTGACAACCAATTTACAATATTTTATTTTATTTTATTATTTTTTTAAAATAGATTCATATTTTTATTTTATCGTAAATTTGTGCAGAAATAATTTATTTAATATTTTTTTGTAAAACAATTTATAACCTAGACTAGCGTTGTTAAACGGCTCGTTTTGAGCCGATTTTAAAAAAGGGCTAACTCATTAATTTTAGCCAGAAAAAATATTGCCTAAGTCTCGAGATTTTGCTAATAGATGTCCAAACCTTTGTTCCTTCTACAAAGAAAATCTTCAGGGCTTTGATATTATTCTAGATGAAATATTAAGTTAGCCATTTTTAAAAATCGGCTCAAAACGAGTCGTTTAACAGCATTAACCTAGACTATCAGACTAAATAAATGCTTATTTATTTTCAAATTAACAAATTTGAGTTAAACCAATTAATTTTAGTAAAAGTGAAAATTGTTATAATAGTTCGGCAAAATCAAATTTACGGAATATGTTTTATTTTTGGAAGAAATTCATAAAAAACATGGAATCATGCGGACAATTCATCTTCTTATCCGATGATTGCGGTAAATTAAAAAGCTCGGGGACAGGTTTCTAAAATGGATAAAACAAAAAATGGCTAAAAAATTTGGGAATCTCGCTATAGAAATCTCCTAGAAAATTTTTTAAAATAGTTTACTTTATCAAAACAAATATATAACTTTATACAAATAAATTTTTTACTACGCCTACAAATAGTGTTATTAAACGGCTCGTTTTGAGCCGATTTTTAAAAACGACTAACAACTCAATATCTAATCTAGAAAAATATTAGGCAAGCCTGAAGATTTTGCTCATAGAAGGAACCAAAGGTCTAAACATTACATTATCGAAACCTCGAGGGTTAGTCAATATTTTTCTGGCGAAAATATTGAGCTAGCCGTTTCTAAAAATCGGCTCAAAACGAGCCGTTTAACAACACTACCTACAAATTATTCCAATTTCTTATAAAAAAATAAAATAAATATCTTAAATACAAAATCGCCCATGAATATTATACTATCGACGTATATTAATTATTCTAATTTAGACGCAATGAAAAATATACACAAATTTTTGCATAAAATTATATTTTAATTTTTGAAAATACTCAAAACAGATTTTAAAAAAAACGAATATCCCTTTTTGAATGGGGAACTTTCCTTTTTTTTTTGAACTGGGAACCTGGAATTTATTTTATAAATTGTAAATATTATTTTCTTATTCTTTCTTTCTTTCTTTCTTTCTTTCTTTCTTTCTTTCTTTCTTTCTTTCTTTCTTTCTTTCTTTCTTTCTTTCTTTCTTTCTTTCTTTCTTTCTTTATTTTCTTTCTATTTGATATTTTTAATGTGCTTTCATTTTTACATATTTTATAGTATAATTTTAATTAATATAATATTTTGCGAATAACGAATCAAATATCATACTATTCTATTCGCATTTTTGAATAAACATATGGTCAGTGTGTGCAGATATCAGACATAGGTAATAAATTATATTCCGTATAAAATTTATCTTTCTTTATTGTATGCAAGGTTATGCATTTGACTTTGAGTTCCATAAATCACATAATTTATCTTTGCAATTTTATCAATTTCAAAGTTCCCCCCCCCCCCTTTTACAATTTTTTTGTTTCCCAGAGGAACTTTATTGACAATTTATAGAGCATTCGGTTATTCTTATAGCCGCCATTTTTAATGCAATAGTTACAAAATATAAAATGAATAGTATTAAAATTTAAGCAAATTTAATTTTAATTTTAAATATTAGATGCATTCTTATATTTTATTTTTTTTGTTGTCCTTGGGGAGGATCTGGTGCCTGACATTTACCCATAAGATCAAAGAAAAGTAAGATCGCTCAGATTGAGCATGCTCGGTTTGTGACGTGGCACTAGTATTGTTAAAAAGTCGAGTTCACCCAACTCCGACTCAGAGTCTCGACTTGTTAGTCGAATTAGTCGACTAACTCAAGTCGTGAACTCAAGTGTTGAACTCGAGTCATAAACTCAAGTCGACTCTACTCAGTCGATTAACAACACTACGTGGCACTATGTCTCTCAAAAAAGACGAAATTGCTTTAAACCTTATTATGAATAAATCATAAATATGGGATAAGAGATGACCAACTTTAATTTTTGTAATATTTTTATATATATTTTCACTCTTTTCAATTAAAAAAAATATTAAAGGTGCAAAATCAGACATTTTTGGTCATAAATTTATGTGCATGAATAGGATAAGACATAAAATATTTTGTCAAGTCTAATTAGTCCCATTTGGGAAAAGCCTTTCACGAGCACTTGACGCACTGTCGATAATAACACTGACAGATTGGCAAAAATAGTCTTTTTAATTATTTATTCCGAATAATTTCTGAATATTCGAATTTATCGAATAGCTCAAATTATTTGTCTAATAATATTTAATTCGAATGAACTCTTAATTATTTTAATTATTTGGTTTTATTTGTAACGAAATAATCATTTATTTTAGAACGAAACCAATAATTTACTATTCGTGTTTCGATTTGTTTTCCAATAGTCGCAATGTCTAGTAACAGTAGGAAGATTAGAATGAAAGCTTTTAATTTATTTTTATATGTATCTGGTTTTTAGTTTTGTAAATCAATTTTATCGTTATAAAATAACAGGACCTCAATTTGGTTCACCCTATATTTCAGCCAAAAACTTTCTAATATAAACTATATTTCCATTTTTATTATTTTTTTATTTATTTAATAAATTGGAAAATAAAATATACATTTACAAGTGTTTGAATTTTAAATCCCTCTATATATATATATATTTACAAATTGATTTTTTTTAAACAAAAAAAACTGAGAATAAAATAATATATCGAAAAATTCACCATACCGAACATTTATTATCTGGATTCATTGGAGATTTGGCTGCGCAATTATATGCATTGGAAAATTCTACAGAATTGGATAGTGTTCCCAAAACTCTGTTTATATTATTAAATAAATGCATTGCATAATATAAACAAAAATTAAAATCAAATAGGCTCTCTAACTTAGTCCCAATATATACTCGAGTAAATATTATTTTGGTTCCATTTATCTAATCCATTTAATTTTACGGACTTCTATACATTTATACTCGGGGATCTATCAAACAATGTCTAATTTTTAGGGTGTCAGATTTTAGAATATGATGATTTAAGAAAGAGTTAACCAATGATTTCTTCTCTGAACCTATTCATAATATGTATTTTGCAGAGTTGTTAAAGGATCTAGATACAAGTATCTAGATCCTGTATTTAGATATAAAAATGTGGTATCTGTATCTAGATAGATTTTTGAATAAAATATCGGTATCTAGATATTATTTTAGACGATATATCTGTATCTAGATCCATTTAAAAAGTATCTTTTAACAACTCAGGTATTTTGTAATACGGGCCGTCATTTTTTCGATTAATTTTTATAGATTATATTGAAAAAAATTTTGAGATAATGGATTTTAGGTCGAAGCCATACCTAGCAGACGATGCAGTCATTAAAAGTGGACGTCGATGAAAACAGCTGGGGACGCCATTATTATCAAACATTTTAATCGAGAGGTCAATTTATTTCTATGTCTGACGCGAACTTTATTAAAGAATCGGCTGTTCATAGAGATAATAAGGAAGCAAGTTATAATCATTTTTAACATGAGAATAATTAGTATACTGGTTAACAAAATGGCGGTTCCAGCTGATTTGCATTCAACGACGCCTTTCGAATGCATTATTATGAATCATTGGGTGAAACATAATATAATATAATAAATAAGATGAAACCAGCAGTATGTTTAGATCATCTTTTTTTAAAAAAATATCATTTACAAATTGATAATTTAAATCAACATTTACATCTTACCTATTTTTTATTTTTTTTAAATGTAAAAACCAGGGAAAATTTCCCAATAATATTTTATTTTTTTTTTAAAAAAAAGTATGCCGAGATATTTTAATAAAATTTGAACTGATAGGTGGAATGAAACCTGATTTTATTAGGGCTATGCGAATCTTTTAGGATTTCGAAAAAGAGAGACTTCCTGCTATCAACCGAGCACCATACCTACATTCGCGTTAAGAAGTAATTTATTTTTTTAAAAAAATTTTATAATCTCTTCATTCATAAAAATTACCACCATTTTTGCTTGTTGCTGCTTCCCTAAGTTTTGTTTTGAACTAAATTACCAAGTGTTGTTAAATGGCTCATTTTGAGCCGATTTTTAAAAAAACGACTAACTCTATATTTTATTAGAAAAACTATTACGCAAACCTTAAGATTTTCCTCATAGAGGATGGTACAAAGGTTTAAACATCTATTAATAAAATCACGAGGCTTAGACATTATTTTCCTGGCTAAACTATTGAGTCAGCTGTTTTTAAAAATTGGCTCAATAATTACCATTTTTGGAATTTTTTGCAATATCTATGTGTTTTTTTTCTTCCGGCAATGTGTTATTTTCATTTTTTTGAGCGCGTTTTTTTTTAAATTTAAAAATCTGATTTTATCGGAAATGCATGCTCGTCATGTTTTGAATATCTACCCTATGAATTTCAGAAAATTTTTTCCGCCAACTTTTAAAACTTAATTATAATTTATATTAAAATTTCCATATATTTTTTTTTATATAAATTATAAATGACACTGAGTTTGAGAGCAAAATTGTCTACACTTCACGAGATAGGTATTCCAAACATTTTAGAATATATTTCCGGTTAAATCCTATTTTTAAAATTTAAAAAAAAACGCGCTAAAAAATGATTTATAAAGTTGTAAAAAATAATACATTGCCGGAAAAACACATAAACGCTAACAATATATATAAATAATATGCACACCATTTTCTGTAATAAGGCAATATGTGCATTAGTGATCTGGACCGACTTGTTTTAAAAAAATATTAGGCCCGACCCAGCCCGAACCCGATTTTAAAAAATATAGCTCGGCCCGAAGCCTGTTCAGACCGGACCGGGTAGGGACCGGGCCAACTTTTGCAGATCTAATGCGCATTGCCTGCATAAATTCTTAGTCATTCCGTGCATTGCTAACATCAATGGTGAAGCGATCTCTCCTAAAAAAATACTCCCCCCCCCCCCAATTTAATTACACTTCTAAATTTTTTGCTTCTATTTATACTAAATCAACTCAGAGAAATATCTATTTCTACTTAAAGAAAAATACGTGATAAAAAAAATCCTAAATAATTAATTAGTAAAAGTATTAATCAGGCATTACAAATTTTCGTGCCCAGATATTAACTTCTCTTCATAATTTTCGTTTTTGGCGCGATGCTAAATCTGGGCCATTTTTTTCTTTATTTTGCCAATGATTCTTTTTCCCCTAAAACTACATATCAAATGGGGTTCAAGCACTTAAATATGCTATATATGCACAGAGTTAATTTTCGGAATAATGCTTCCAGAATGTTTAAGCTGACTTCACGTTTAAGGCTTCATATTTTTTATTGCTTATAATTCGGGTAATTTCTGGTGGTTCGTGAAATTGATCGAGAAAATTATATTATTAACTCCTAAACTTGGTGACATTAAATATACGCGAAATCCAATTAGATATTTAGTTTTTCCTTTAATTTTCTATTATGTCGTGAAGCCAATTTTTTTTCTTATTTTTATTGTCAATATACAATTAAGCACTAAAACATTGATAATTTTAGAATTAGTTGTTTTCAGCCGCCTTTTTAAAAAGTTCTCCCGTCACTCAATAAATATTATAATAGAAATGGATGGAATGTATATGATGAAAAAGAGGGAATACTTGAGCAAAAGAGAGAAAGAACAGTTGATCATCGGTCATGTTCAAACCTGGTAAAATTGTGGTATCCATTGGATTCGATGATTTGAAAGATTGAAATGCCTTTTGAATAAAATAGATATTCAAATCATTTTTTTTTATCATTCAATAAAATTTCCAATATTATGCTATAGAACACAACCCTGATAACGTTTGAAGTAAAATGAAATAAAGTGAAAGTGCGAATTCAGGGGCGAATTATATAAAATACGCTGTATTTTTGTATTATCCGCCATGAATTTGCGCTAACCGTGAATGTGGCCTTACCCTGCATTCATAGTTAGCACGAATTTGCGGTGAAGTATTCAAAATATGTTGTAATTTTTGTGAATTTATATATAATTCCTCGAAAATTCGTGCTAACTGTGAATACAATGTTATATTACTCAAAATGTGATAAAAAAAACGTCATTCGTTTTGGATGAGAAGTGTTAGGCTAGAACAGAAACTCAATTATTAACAGCTGTAAACCTTAATACGATTTTCATTTTAAGTCAGCATTTATAGTATTGTTAAAAAGCCAGATATATCGATTTTTTCAAAACTGCCCCAGCCAAAATAATATTATGTAAGCATCGAAATCTGACAAATAGATGTTCATTCTGCCAGCTATTAGCAAAATCTTCAGGCTTGCATAATGTTATTTTGGTTAGAATCTTAATCGCGCCTTTTAACAACACTATTCAGCATGTTTTGCCAAAAAGAAAGACGCTTATTGAAAAAAAAGAAGAATTATAATGCACAAAAGGTTGTTTTAAAAAAAAAAAAATGATCATACAGAAAATGTGGCCTTCAATCCGCCATTGTCGGCTATGTTCTCGCCGAGTGTTTGTTCACCATTTATCTAAAAAAAAAAATTCGAAAATAATAATTTTGGTTAAGAGGAAGAAGAACGGTGAGCCTTCCAAAATTTTGTCCTCCCCGCCCCCCACCTTCACCCAAAAAAAGTAATTTTGAAAATTGAGCTCTTAGAGATTAATGATGTCCTTGTATTAATATTCAAAATTGAACAAGAATGGAAAAAAAAATTAATTTGAATCGTACTATATAATATTGAAAACGGGTGACTAAATGCTGCTTTGCATTACTCAATAGCAATTAATATTAATCATAATCAATCAAAATTTGATTATTATAATCCTTTTTTTAAAGATAATTTTCGGAAACATTTATTTTTAATGTACATAAATCAATTTTTTATTAAATAAAAAAATTGAGATTAAAAATATCAAATAATTATTTTCACTCAATATTATTGGAAGAAAAAAATATTTTGTTACATTTTGGGTACATTTCAATTTAAAGTTTTTTTTATTTATTTTTGTCTTTTAAAAAAAATTATATTAAATTAAACTTTGATATATGTAAATTGGACATATTATATAAATATTATTTCAGAAAAAGTATATACATAAAATAGACAGTTATGTAGTTACAAAAATATATAATGGAAACTTATTAAATAAAGATGAATTGTCATCATAAATTCTAAACCGTTCTCACATTCTTATTTCGACAAAATCTCAGTGTAAGGCCACTCCACTTGCTTTATATTTACTAGGTTATTACAACTCAAATTTTATTTTTCATTCTTAAAATTTAACGAATATATATCCTTAAGAGGGCGTTAAAACTAGCAAATTTGGTCGATCGAATATTTAGTAAGTGGTTTTTGAGCTTGGCATTTTGTGAAATCATAGTATTTTCAAAATATTTTTTAGGATAATGCTTATCACCTAAATGTACACGTATAAACCAAAAATGAAGAGATTTTGATCAATATATCCAGCAATATGGGTCTTACAAGTTTTCTATTATTTTTCGATTTCTAAACCTACTCAATAATTAAATATCAAAGAAACCTATTTTTTTAAAAATTTTAGGATTTTCACATGTATTTACACCCAAATATAAAATAAGCGCTAACCAATAATCATTCTAATATCCCAAGATGATATTTTCATTTAGCATTTAACGCCCTCTTATGGATATATATTTTTAAATTTTAAGAATGAAAAATAAAATTTGAGTTGTTATAAGCTAGTAAATATATTTTTTTTTCCCAATAATATTAAGTAAAATTAGAATTTTAAATTATTTGATATTCTCAATTTTTATTAAATAAAAAATTGATTTATGTATATTAAAAAAAATGTTTCTGAAAATTATTTTTAAAAAAAAGATTATAATTTTGATTGATTTCTATCTATATAAATAAAAACAGATGATATTGAAATTGACTATTAAAATAGGACATAATGATATCCGTTAAAAAGTTGTTAAATATTAATTTTTTTAATTTAATTTAATTAATAATTTTATAATTAAATTATTTTATTAAGAAGAATAAATTAAATTAATTCATTTTATAAAAAATTATATTTAAGATATTATATTATTAAGGAATTTTATGGATCTATTAATAGTAATTATATAAAATTTCACTTTTGTCTAGACTTATCATTGGCTTATATTTCATTTCTTAAAAAAGTTGCTTGGTTTCACCTTTTTTTATATATAAATTTTTAAAAAATATGAATTATAGTTAACAGTTTTAGTATAAAACATTTTAATAACTTTCACATTCTTTCTTTCAAATTATTGTTTAAGATATGTGCATATATTTTTGGAAGACAGGGGGTCTAAGGAAGACATTTTTTAATAGTTTAAAATGATATATACAAAAGGTGACATATTAAAGAAGGGGGGGGAATTTTCCCTTGCCCCCCCTTGGCTACGCCTATGATTGATTATGATCAGTGTCGTTAAAGGCCTTAAATATTAAAATGGTATATTAATTCTAAAAATGGAATTTTTTTTTTGTAAATGTGATAATAAGAATAATAACAATAAGAGAAAGGTATTAGAAAATTTATTTCTTATATTCCCTGCCCGTCATTTTTGACGGGCTATCTACTAGTAATATAATAATTGTGAAATGATTTGACAACAAATTTGTTCATGTTATATTATCATGGTATCGACTAAATAGAAGAAGTGAGGCGATGGTTCTTAGCGGAATAAATAGTTATTCCCTGTTGTATTTAAAAAAAAATATAGTGAAGGAATGGAGATTTTCACGATATGCTAGTGGAATGCTACATAGTTGATATCCAAAAAGGTAGAAGGTTTTATCTTAGAATAATATTTCATTTGATAGATATCTGCATTGTGAATGCATGGTTAATGTATCGGACATTTACTTCAAAAAAAAATGCAAAATCTTTTATAAAACTTATAACATTTAAATCTTGAATGGTTACTGCTTTATTAATGGCAGGTAAAATTAGTAGAAGAAAAATAGGGAGACCATCAAATGAAACTAAATTACAAAAAAGGATCTAGGTTACCTCAGGTAATATTCAGATGTTATACAGTAATACAGGGCATTGGCCAGAAGCGTCCAACACTAGAAAAAGGTGTAAACTATGTGTTAGCACATATTCAAGAACTAAGTGTGAAAAATGTTAAATTTATTTATGCTTTAACCAAGGATAGAAATTATTTTAAAAAATTTTAATAATAAATAAATATATGTTTTTTTATCAATGATGTCAAATTGTATATATATTATGAAATAAAAGTCGAAATAAAAGTTTTACATCCTTGGTGTATATAAATGAAGATTTTTTATAAATATCGTATTGAAACCTACTTATTGACAAATATTAGACAAATGAATCAAATTTATCATATATTTCCCAAAAAAAACTTTTCATTAATTCCCCGAGGAAAATTCTATAAATCTTAAAACTCCTACCAAAAAAAAATAAAAATGGAGGAGGGGGGGGTGGGCTCATTATTTGATATGTAGAAAATGTAACTTAGACCTCCTTGTTCCACAAACTGGGGTGTCTAACTTAACGCCTCTTAATATTTGATATAATAATACTATAAATACCTTGAAAAAAAAATACATTAAAATACTTGATTCTCGGAAGATTAAATAAGCTAACTTTGATATTTTATAATAAAATTAAACCCTTTTGTTTTTTTTAGTGGGATACATATATATAATTATATGTCGTGGGATATGAAATCCATGAGGATAATTTCGAAATTCCTTATTTGATCGAAAATGCGTTCCAGCACATTTATAATACCTAGCCTATAAATTCCTGACAACTTTGGCCATAAACCTTTGTGTATTTATTATTTTTTGTTTAAAAAATTTACATGAAAAATGTATATTAAAATACTTCAAATTTTTCATGCTCTATGTAATACGTTGGAATACGATTTCTATCAAATCAGATTTTTATTGAAATTTATAAAATTATCCCCGTGGATTTCATATCCCAATAAACGACATATATACTAGAGGTCTGCGCTCGTTGTTTTGAAATTTATTTAACCCGCCCACTCGCCCATTTATCCCCAATTTTGTTTAACCTGTCCGCCAGTCCAATGTTTAAATATTATTTTAATGGCTGGTTTGGCCTCTTTATTTATTTATTTATTTATTTAAAATGTATATTATTAATTAAAACATATATAATATGCAATATTAGGAAATATTAGGAAATAAAACTATCATTCTTAATAAATTGAAGTCTTGTTATGCTCATATCGCCTAAAAACAAATATCAAAAATTTACACGCCCACATCCGCCCATTACTTTAGCCCGCCACCCCGCCCAACGTTAAAATATTTTTGAAAAACCCGACCATGGAAAAGCCCGTGCAGACCTCTAATATATACTAATATTTATTATGACATCCTTTTTTTTTTATTGATCATAATTTTTTTCCAATGTTTACAAATCAGGAACGCCCCGATATCTATAGAATTGACTGTAAAGAGAAGAGAAGAAGAAGAGAAGAGAAGAGAAGAGAAGAGAAGAGAAGAGAAGAGAAGAGAAGAGTGCCTACTGTTATTAAAGATAATGAAAATTATGATTCTGTTCCGGTGTTGAAAATTATTTTGAAAATATTATTTTAATTAAAAATTCGAAAAATATTAGGGTAAAGGTTGGGTCCGTTTCTTTTAAATATTTGGTATAAAATTTTGATTTGTGGCCAGGAAAATTGAAATTATTATTCAGTAATACGCCGGGATTTCTGGTATATATATATATATATATATATATATATACACATGTAATAAATTTCTCGAAAGAACTAAATTAAAATGCGTGATAATACCTTTAGCCTTGCCAATGTGAAATTAGAATATTGATCCTTCAGGCATTCGGCTTTTTCGTTGAAATTTTTGACGGAGGTTTCGTTCCACCACGATCTAAGATTGCCATTTATATCGAATTGCCTCCCTAACGAGCATAAATTTTGCGAAATATAAATGCGATTATCATTAAAATTAAAAAGTTAGTTATGTATCGTTTATTGTATTACGAATATTTTTATATTTACATATAATATTAATTAAGCAATCCTAATAAAATGATTAAATCAGGATATTTTCAATCGACACCAAAAAAAGTATCGTGCATGATACAGGATCAAAATTTTACTTTAAAAAAATATGGTTCGAGAGGCATATAATATATTATAACCCCATGATATATTTTTTGAGGTTGAAAGAATAGCGATTTGCCTAATGATAAAGTCAATATGTTTTTTCTGGGCAATGTGTTCATTTTTGTCAACTTTAAATCAACTTTAAATCGTTTTTTGAGGACCTTTTTTTTTAAAATTTAAAATTTTGATTTTACCGGAAATGTATACCAGCATGTTTAGGATACCTATCTTATAAATTGTAGATAATTTTACCGATAGCTTTTGCGTCATCTATAATTTATAATTTATAATTTCTCTTCTCTTCTCTTCTCTTCTCTTCTCTTCTTCTCTTCTCTTCTCTTCTCTTCTCTTCTCTTCTCTTCTCTTCTCTTCTCTTCTCTTCTCTTCTCTTCTCTTCTCTTCTCTTCTCTTCTCTTCTCTTCTCTTCTCTTCTCTTCTCTTCTCTTCTCTTCTCTTCTCTTCTCTTCTTTGACGGAACACATTTCCGATAAAATCGGATTCTTAAATTTTTAAGAACACGCTCAAAATAAAAAATAATTTAAAGTTGAAAAAAGTATACACATTGCTGGAAAAAACGCATTGACGCTATCTATTATATATGAATCATTTTTTTCCTGATCTCTTTTTCTAATTCATATAAAATAAGTTTATTAACTAAGTTTTATAAAAATACTTTCTTTCTCCGGCAAATAAAAATAATGATTGTGATCAGAGGAATACTTAAACATTCTTACAAAACTATTAATGTTAATAACGACTTAAATTTATTAACATTAAATATAAGCATATGTTGTTGATCTTGGTATCTGTAAACATTGATAATTTTTTTTTTAAACCTGTGTCATCAAATCCATGAGTGAGTTCATGGCCTACTATAAAGCCCATGGCACCAAAATTGAGTGATCTGTATTTTATTATTATTGAAGAAAACCATTATTTGCCACTATATTATAGCAATAAGAAATTAAGACAAATTTTCCGTATTTAAATATAAATAATAGCATTTATCTTTTATCATATTTTATTATATATAGTGAAAAAAATAATTACTTATTTTAACAAAATTATTCTCCTTCCATTTTCTGAGCGACCAGATGATACCCCTGAGCTATAAGATTTCTTATTTTGACTACTTAATATGTACACTTTAAAATATGTAGAATGGGAAAGTTGTAAAAAAATTAGTGCATCCTGAATCTTATTACCTCTTGACTTTAAAAAAGTATGATGAAAATTACTTTACACCAAAATATTACTTAACTAATCGAATGAGAAGGGTTTTTCTAAAGATTTCAAAAAATTTTAATATCGAAAAAAAAACAACATTTAAATATATAATTTACTTCGGGAAATTGCTATCATAAAAAGGGGATTGCAGAATACCAGCAGGAAAGACTAAATAATATGATTAAATTAATATGTATATTTCTCTGAATGTTTCTCAATCTGTTGACAAATTAGATAATTTCAAGCCTAATTTATTTTAAATAGTTTAGCCCGTTCGCAAGCTACTTGATTCCTCTGGAATCACAATTCAGTATTTATAAATACGAATTTTCTGACGAATGATATATATATTGTCAGATAATCAAAGTGACTGAGTAAAAACACCCTGCCAATCAACTAATCCTCTCCCAAGTTAAGCCTTTTTTACGATCGATTCAAAAATGTTTTTTTATATAAGTTAGAAAAAGAAATTAATGGTTATAAATGGCTCTATATCGCTAATTTTTAAATTTAAGAGTTTAATAAGACTCGAGATTTTATTGATAGTTGGCCAAGCCCTTCTGCCATCTAATGAACAAAATCTCCAGTATAATATTCCTTTTTAAAAAATTTAGCCACTCTTATTTTTTCTTGTCAAATTCTAATAGCTATTCATAAGTAACATCTCTAGAGGTTATAAACGTATTGTCTATGACTATGCCTCAAACTCAAATTAGTTGTCGGAATAGAATGAGGAGATTAAAAGGTTTAAAAAAAATGTCAGCTAAATTGTTGTCAAAAAAAAATCTAATTTTATAATTAAATGCAACTAGATGAGTTAAAAAAAAATGTAAGATAGTATATGGATTTCTTTGCAAGAGTGCAAAATAAATTGATAAAGAAAAAATAGTTGGGAGATCGATAATAGTTGGAAAAATTATTCGAGGGAAAAAAAACAAAGTTGTAGACGTAATCTCATAGCTGGCCAAAAAATTTTTTTAAAATCTCATTTGTGTTTTCCCAGGATCTTTGAAAAAATTATAGTATTTAATGAGTGAACATAATTAAGAGATACATCTAAGAAAGATGTCTTAAGTGATTCACCAGGGTTGGGGCATTGATATCACTCCTATATAAAAGAATTGAAGATATTCCATTTCATGGAAATGTCAGCGATCAATAAATAATCGTTACAGTTTATGTTTAGCCTAACTTGACAAGCGGATCTTTAATTAAATTAATGTCTATCTTCGCAACCAACGGTATTTTACTTTTAGAGTGCTCGAAAAGATAAGTCAGAACCTTTTCAATTAAGGGGCGAACTCGGTCATAGCTTTTTGAGGATATTATATGGACAAATTTATGACTTTTATTTTGGGTTTACATGATAACCCCATTAATCAAGAACTTTTAAATTTAGAAAAATGGAATGAACAAGAATTGAGAATTAGGTTGAGTTCAGATAAATTTTAGACTCTAACAATAAGGAAAATGAAACCCCTGGTGTTAAAGATTAAGTTATAGAGGTACTTCATGGATAGGAAAACGATACATATAACCTAGGGTTTTGGGTATACGGAAGATTGCCAAGAAGGATTTACTCTATAACTTAAAATTCTTAAGTGGGAAAATATAAATATAGGCAGTGAGCCGATGGCAATAACGATTTTAAGAATATGTATAAATATTTAAGAAAAGTATAAAAGCGGGAAAATATTTCAGCATGTTATAAAAACTGGATAATAGATTATTGAGAGAAACTTTAAATACGTTTTCAGAAAATCTTTCTTTCTTTATTTCTTTCTTTCTTTCTTTCTTTCTTTCTTTCTTTCTTTCTTTCTTTCTTTCTTTCTTTCTTTCTTTCTTTCTTTCTTTCTTTCTTTTTCTTTCTTTCTAGATTATATATTTAAATTTTATAAATATGAATTTTATGATTGGTTTGGTTATTTTATTTAAAAATATCGGGAGGATATATTAAAGGAAGCCTAATACTATATTATCGTTGTTTTACTATTGTAAATAAACATAAAAATTACCCATTTCGTTGGCGCTAGCCGAATAATACGCATTTACCGTGTGAGGTGTTAAGGACCATCTAAATTTTACAATAATAAATATTAAATGAGTGTAAATCAAGTGGATAAAAACAAATAACAAGCAAGTTTAGAAAGTTTGTATTATTTTATTTTATTAATGTGTATTAATTAATATAAGTAAATATCTTTTATAAATTTATAGGATAGGTATATTCTACGTAAGTATATATTCAAAAAAAACTTATCGCGGAAATTATTATTTATTTTTTTAGTGTTAACAAAATGCGTCTTGGACAGTTCTGTTTCTTATTTTAGAAGTCGAAAATTATGATACCTAAATTCTAAAATGCTATTAAAATTATGAAGTAACTCTTCGTTATACCTTCAATTTATAACCTATATAATGAGTATGTTTTCCTGATCTCTATTTTTTGAAAGAGTAATACTTCAAGTTCCATAAGAATCTCTCAGAATTTGATTTATATTTTATACTTTAACATTATAAGATTAATATTTAATCGGTATAAATAATAGACATATCAGTATTAAATACAAAATTGGACAATATTTTAGCAAATTATTTTTTTTTATAATGTAGTAGAAGTGAATTGAGTGTTCTAAGGATAGTGCCTTTTTGCGAATTCCTCATACCGATTTATTTAAGATGGTTAAAGATCTATCCCCGTTATGGGCCAAAGGGCAAATAAGGTTAAAAGGTTATTAAAATATGGAGTAGAGTTTAATGCAGAGTTCAACTTAACTGCAAATGCTTATACAAATTACAAATTGTAGAGGTTAAATATTATTTGTATACTCTGTTAAATAAAATTTTAATATATTTTCTTAAGGTAACAAGTCATTTAAATTATAACACCGAAATTCTGATCTTGAAAAGAATGAATATTGAATATATATATATTCTATATCTTCGCCATAAATCCATCAACAACATTCTTCTAGCTACCCCCGTAAAATTTAATATCCCACCAACCCCTGGACCAGTGGGCCTTTCAAATGAAAACGCCCTACACCCCGATGTATATCCCTCATTCCATGGTCTAACGGTCTTCCGCTGACCTAGGACTATATTTGTGTCGATTTTGCAGCAAAGTCTAACCTCATTTTCTGCCATTTAAAAAACAAGTATGCCGGCTTCACCAACACAGTGTTTATACAAAATGTCACCAATACCTTAGGGATGTTAGAAAGTGAGGCCCTCAATTTCATTAAAACCAGGAAAAAAATGAGACAGATCACTAGGGACCCTAATGAGGGATTTTACCTCCGTCAGCAGATTCCGATCCAATCTTTTAAGCATTAACTCTTTTCTAAGGCCATATGTATCGTTTTTAATATTTTTTTAAGTTCTATTTAATGTTTTTCTAATATAAAAAAATATATATTTATTTAATATATAATTTTTAATATATCCTTATTTGCTTTACCTTTAAATATATTTTTAATTTCATATTGTTCGTATTTATATTTAATCTTTTTAAATTTGAAACCGCTTTTTTAAAAAAATAAAAAATTTACAGTAAAATAAATAAAATAATGGGAAAAAAAAAATATATTTACTGAAAAATCTATCAAAATACCGAAAATTTTATATTAAACCCTAAGATTCTAAGATACTGATATATTATTATTGTGCGCTTACATTTGATTTATTAAGTAAAATATCGCGTAACATAACAATAAAATCTATATAAAATAAATTTCTACTTTAAAAACATATAAAAAAAAATTCTATTATAGCCAAATATTTTTTAGTTCAGGTTCCCAAAAAGGAGCGATAGTTAAATTTGAATCTTCATATTATTAAATGTTTTGATTTTTGAGGATAAAGAGAGAAAAATGACCAATTTTTGATAATACGATTAAAGGGAAGATACAGTTTGATAATTTTAAATATTTTTTTTCCTCGATAGACCTGCAGAGGCACCATTTGCATGGCCCAGCCCGACCCAAATTTTAAAAATCGGCCCGGCCCTGATTTTATTAAAATATATTACATTTATATTGAGTTAAAATATTCGGTTTTAAAATATAAGGTCTGGCCTGACCCACTTTTTTAAAAAATTTTTAGGCCCTCGATTATCTTAAAAATAATAATTTTTAGGCTCGGTCCGGGTATATTTAAAAAATTTGGGCCTATGGGTCTCCGAGAATTAGCCTTTTATTTGTAAAATACTAAATATAAATAATTATTTCTTTAAAAGAATCATATTTGGCATAACCTAGACTTGTCAACGGGAAGTTTTAGCTTACGGAGAGCTTTTCGCACGTAAAAAGGAATCTGCCTTAGATTGTTTCCGAAATAATCGTCCACACTGAACTCCAACTTTAACGGTGCGGCCCAATATAATGTGTAATTATTAGATTACAAATATATATATATAAGTAAAATTCTACTTTTAGCAAAATAAAATTAACTTCGAAATAATTTATAATAATAGAGAAGAGAAGAGAAGAGAAGAGAAGAGAAGAGAAGAGAAGAGAGAGAGAAGAGAAGAGAAGAGAAGAGAAGAGAAGAGAAGAGAAGAGAAGAGAAGAGAAGAGAAGAGAAGAGAAGAGAAGAGAAGAGAAGAGAAGAGAAGAGAAGAGAAGAGAAGAGAAGAGAACTTATAATATTTACGAATTAAATTTTTTTTACCCCTTCGTATTTTTCATCCAATAACTTTGAATCCAGTAAATATTCAGGAAATCCGATCTTGTTTTTAACGGCATCTACCTGATTAATTATTTTTAAAATGGAGGGCTAGAGTACTTTGGTGGGGGCTTCCTTTCCTCATAATTTTTTTTTAAAAAAAACACTCTTGAAATTAACAAAAGTTCCTAGTTTCCTATCTTTATTATATTGGGTATGAACGAGTCGTGCATGGGCTCACAGGTACCAAGAGCCTGGAAAAACGCTAGTTTCATAAAAAAAATTTAATAGAATTTTCTTAGAAAATATTTATAAATAAGCCTAGTATTTGAGAAATCGAATATATGTAATATATCAGGATTAGTTATTAACAGAGTAAAATTTAATTGAGATTAAACGGAAAGTTGGATATAACGTGCCCAGCCTCGCTCCTTACCTTGTCAAGGTTAAAACGATATAGTAAGATGTTTAATTTTACTAGGCTAATCTTTAAGTTTAAAATGATATGGTAAGAGGGTTTAATTTTAAAATGATATTTTGTAAGTTCGGAATTATATTACTTTACTAGTTATGTTGCTATGACTATAAGAATAATTTATATGATTTATAAAAAAAATTTTTTGTATATATAAAACTTTTATTAAATTAAATATCGCGAAAATATAACATTATAAAAAGTATAAAAATCAAATAAATAATTATATATATAAACGGTTAAAATATCACCGTCAACTATTTTTAGGCTGGTTTTCCAAAAAGGCGCTATAAATTTTTTTTAAGATATCAATTTTTATTTCATGCCGTAGAAAGAGAAATTCTCTTGATTCATGAGTAAATGTCATGATTTTTGAGCATAAAAATTTTTTTAAATTTGTATGTTTAGGATCAAGTTATAATTTAAAGGGGGAATTATGTCGTTTATTGATGTGGGATTGGAATAAACATTTTGATAATTTTAACTTACTTACTTACCAATAAAATATTCATCAAGTTTGTCTATAGTAGACAATTTATAGATTGGTTTTTTATTTTTTTTTATGGATTTTTGAATTTATTTTATAATCATTAAAGGGATAGGGATAGGCTAATTTAACATTGACATTTCAAATATTTATATCCTCACAGAATATTTTACCACTTAGTAACTTTTACTCCGGATTAAGGCACAAACTTTATATTTCATTTTTTTTCCACTGTGTAGTTGCAAGAGAGATGATGGATAGATGCTAGCCACTGCTTATTCATTTAATGATAATTATTTTTAAAAATTACCTTTTCGGCAGCCACTTTTTTAGTGTCTTCGTCCATCCAATCTACACCTGTCAACTGTTTTTTGAACGAAACTTTAATACTGTCTATCATAGTGTTCACCTTTTTAAAATAAAATAAAATATCAATTGTCAATTCTAATTTCGAAAATATTATTTATCATAATTTTAGTCGATTCTGGCATTGTAATTAATCATATAAACTTCTTTTAGCGATGGCCATAATTTAAATGGTTTTAAAAAGTAATCCAAATATTTTCAACAACACCAATTCCAATAGTTTTTTTTTTTTATAAAAAAAAAACCAAAGTTTTATCTCGCCCTTGAAATTCTTCTTTAATATACAACGATCCAAGGGGGAATCCTATGATACTATTGGTATCGGAGAGGCAAGCTTTCCAAGTATCGACACCATCGGTAGATCCTTTAATAGCTTTACTCAATGGCCGAAGGGTCGCCCTAAATTCGCTGGACAGGTATGGTAGCATCTTCTTAGTGACGTGCCACATAAAGTAATTGTTCAAGATTCTGCGGTTCATTTATTGGGAATATTCGAAAAAAAAGGAGTAATTAAATAGGGATATATAATAATTACGAGTATAGGAGTTTATAATAGTTTAAAAATATATTTGTTTAAGAAGAAAAAAAGGGAAGAAAATTTTAGAACGTTCTCTTTTCAGCACTCGATAGGTATTCTTTAATCAGGAGGGTCAAATTAGCGAAGTAATCCGTTGATCTCACGATTACGATTTGATCGGACGTAAGAGTCAAGTTTACCAGACCGAATAATTTGTTAAGGTAAGTGGTCCAATTCATCTAAATTCAGATATTATAGTATGTTGATTGTGTTATAAAACGATATAAACAATGGTATATATAAATTTTTCAAAGGGATTTAGAAAAATTTGAGAATAATTTGATATATAATATCTTATCACCATATTCGTGTTTTGAGCCGATTTTTTAAAAACGGCTAACTCAATATTTTTATCCAAAATATTAGGAATACCTGTAGATTTTGTTCATAGAAGGAACAAAGGTCTCTAGACATATATTATCGAAATTTCGAGACTTAGCCAATATTTTTCTGACTAAAATATTGAGTTAGCCGTTTTAACGAGAACCGTTTAACATAACTATTCATTTTAGTTTTATAGAATAATTCATTTTATGAAAGAAATAATATTAACTAAATTACTTACAAAATTGTACTAAATATAAAATCATCGAATATTTTTACAAAGTCATATTTTTGGTCGATTTCTTTTAATGTCATGGGATTGTAGTATTTCTCTATATCTTTTAAGCTTTCAGAGGAAGGTGTAAACTATACAAAAAAAATGAAAGTTGAAATATTACTTCAAATTTATCATGCTTATTTCCTTCAAATACCTTTTTTTTTCTTACACTTATTAGCATAGTAGGTGAGGCAATAATAAGACAATTTTTTTTGTTGTAAACTTATTATTATGCATTATAATATACTAAGATTAAAAAAAAAGAATAATTACGAAGCATTCTGATTTCTGTCTAATAAAAATTTGGTGTGGCTTTCTTTAACAAGAATTTCAAATTGTAAATTAATATAATCGAAATCTACAAAATTAAAGTTTTATAGTAATACTAAATCAGCTTACATTAGCAATCCTCCCTTCGAATGCCAGTATATTCGCCATAGATTTTGTTAATAATCGAAAATAATTGAGATAGGCTGATTTGCGAAAACTGCCATTTTTAGTATCGCCGTTGCCGACAATATCCGAAGAATCCAAATAAGAATTCTCTTGTCTCACTTTGCGCTTCATGAGCCTTTCAAACACGGTATGAACATTTTCGACTCTTCGTCTCAGAACGGGCTTATCGCCCTCTAATATAGAACTAGATTCCGGGGGGTGGGCTGATAATTTTTTCTTCTTCTCCTCCTCTTTCCGTTTTATCTCGAGTAATCTTTTCGCTCTCGATTTTGACAGCCGTCGTTTCTCTTCTAATTCGGATAACAGCCGACGTCTTTCTATCTTAGATTCGAGGAGAGAGCCAACGTTAATCATATATTTCAAGTAGGCTGTCAGTATTTCTAAATTTTCTATTGTGGTTACGTTGAAATAGAAGTCTGAATCGGGTAGACTCGTGCTGCCTATATCTATGAATAATGCGTTTTGGGTGGAATTCTTATCGTCGTCCGTTATGTAAACAGAAAATATCAGGCCAAGATCGAAATCTACGGTGAGTCGTTCCATTTTTTCCTGAAAATCCCATTCCCTTGGCAACATTTTGGCCAATAAGAGATCTTTAAAAAAAGAATAAAATAAACGATTAATTTAACTTGAAACTTAAATAATATAGTATAATACATATTGATAAAAATTATAAATACTAATTTTATTTTTTTTTACAATAATATTCCATGTATTTTTTTAATTTTATTAAATATTTATTTTAGCCGAGTTTTCAAATGTAATTTATGAAGAATATGAAAACACCTATAAATAACGTTCCTATTTATCGGATCAAAATTTTTAAAGGGAATTTGTTTTTATTAAATATACAAATTTTACAAGAGGAATTATATTTTTTTTTATAGTCTTTAATGAATTGTAAAATCTTCTATATATAATTTTGAAAATAAATGTAACTCGTTTTTTGGAAAATTAATGAGTAAGATAATGACGTTCCATTTTTCGGACAGTAGCGTAAAAGGAAATAACGTTACATTTTTAAAAAGTAACTGCAGCACTGGATAAAAGGTAAGAACCGAAATATCACTGATAACATAAATTTTTTTACAACTAATATTCTGCAAATGACGGGAATTAAATATATTACAATAGTCAAAATATACCTTCGTCCTTTTCGTCGTCAATCTCGGTAACATTGTCTTCAGATGATTTTAGAGGAGTTTTTAAGACAGAAAAATTCCAACCCCCGTATTTATCGAGCAAATTTAAAATGGGGTCCCCACCTAAGGATTCGATTACATCATCTTGATCGAGACACGATTCATAATAAATCCTGGCTTTTTCCTCTGCCGTGCTGTCGAAGGTCTTATTCTTCGTTTCTATGATAATTTATTTTTTTTATGAAAAATATTTACAATTCCATATTTTTATAATTTTTAAATTTAGGTTCCAAACTACAAAAAAAAAAAATTCTGCCGTTTACAAACAGCTGATATTTTTAAATTTCTACGAGTCCATTTATAATCACATGACCTGTCAGTGGTATATATGGAAGGGCAAAGAAAATGTGAAGAAAAAAAATAGCGCAACCCCCTTCCAATTTCTTTTTTGTTATTTTAACATATAAAAATTTTTATTATAAAAACAAATGAGAAATTAATACATTTTTAGTGTAGCATTATGCTATTTCCTTTCTAATATTTTACTTACAATTGACTCAGTTCTTTTTCCCCTTTCCTAACCGTAATATATCAAACTCTAGCTCGATTAGAAGTTCGGACTAAAGATTCCTCAGAATTAATTTTTTGAAAGCAAAATTTGTCACATTAAAAAAAAAAATAAACCAATCAAAAAACATTATAATTTTATTAATATTAATCCGAACTCATGAGAGATATTATGATATCTCTAGTACTATTTAGATCAAAGTGACATACGAAGAAATTAAGATATTCGCCATTTTAGATTCTAACGCTTAGTCACGTGGCCTCTGACTTTCTTGAAAGCCTTAATTGGTTTAGGGCAGGATTTTTTAAATAAAAATATTTTATTTACAAACTTGTTTATCTAAATATTCTTATACCACCTCGCGGAATATTATGCACATCTTAAAACTAATATGATATTAAGCGAGTCATTATTATGTGCAAATTATAGTTTTAATTATATAAATTATAACTAAGTTCTCCCGCTATAAACCATATAGGTGAAAAGTGATTGGTCATATTTTGTTTTCTTTTTAATTGGCAAAATGTCATAAGCGATGCTTTAATTTTGCTAGGGGAGTGGAAGATAAGTAATGTTCTCCCATTGGGCCTTTGGTGGGATCAAATTTTTATAAATAATTAATGTTTTTTACCTTTTAAATATTAAAATGTCTTCTTTTTTTTAAATTAAATAATTTAGAAAATTTTTGGCTGGATAGTTTGTCCAATTCCATCCCTGTTTGGTCGAAGTTCACAAAATGTCCAACCAAACAGTTTTCAAAATGTCTGAATCCTAAATTTGAGTTTCACAACACATAAATTACTCTCAGGGTGCTCCACGGAGAAAAATCTTACGCCCCTATGTCACCAATATAAATTATATATAAAAATTTTGAGATCGATGTCTCTACTTTTTTTGGAGGGTTCTGTAGACTGGGGTGAGTTGGGGCCTTCCATATTAAGCTTACAAATTTAAAGGCATGCCATTAATATAGATCATAATTCATTTTACTAAATTTATTTCACTATATTTTTTTAAAATTTATTATAAATTATTATGTAACCTAAAATTTTGCGCAAGATATATTGATTCTTTTGATAAAGGGCCTGAAAATGACTCCAAGAGGATGACCCATCTGGTATGTTATTATCATTGATCCAACCACCACACGCATAGTTATAAAAGTCATCGCAGGGATCTACTGAAAGATTCATTGAATTTAGTAGTCTAGCCGATATCGAGATGCAATTAGGACTCATACAATTTTCTATTTCTAATATTTTAATTAAATATATATTTTTTTTTTCAAAAAAATAATGTTATCTTGACAATGTTTGGTTTAATCTGATTTCAAGATTCTTTTTATACATATATTCATAATGCATATATCATACCGGAAATATGTGCACTGTCTTATAAAATTGTCCGAATTTTATTGGATTGACACTCTAAACATAAACATGGCAGAAATTATTTTGGATTAAATTTCAAATTTTTTTTTAAATTTGAAAAAAACTAGTTAAAACAAATTAATTTTGGTGCGACCAAAATCAAAATTTTCTTTTCTTTTTAAAAATTTTTTTTAAGTTTATTATTGAAATTTACGAAATCGAATTAGGACGCACAATGTATAAATGCGAGAATCATTTATTTAACCTTTAAATTTTTAAAAATAAACGCGTTATTAAATTTTTTAAGATCTTATATTTTTGCCACTGACAATTTTTAGCATGAATCTTTTTCGGTTATTTAATTTTTTTAAATTGCAAAAATTACGACTGGGAATATTATAATCAGATCATACACCTAAATTTCTGATTTCGCACCCATTTAATTAATTAATTTCATTAAATATTTCAGATTTTCTAACATGAATATAAAATATATCTTTAAAATTCAATGTGATTTACCATCATTATGGGACTTGTTAACCACCTTTTCATCGCTTAGCGATTTGTTAGCCGTAAAATATTCACTTTTTTTATTATCCATTTTTTCCTCTTTCGCACCTTCATCCACATTCGATATATCCTGCTCTGATTCGATTGAGTTGCTAGAATTCGTCTCTTTGTCCGATACGTCATTCGTCAAAATAAGGATACCTTTCGAAATCACATTTTTTAATCTTATAACCTCCAAGTTCTCTTTCTCCAATACTATTTTATTGCTACTGTTATCGATAGAGCGTCGTTTAAGCGATGATGCGTTTTGAATCGCGTTTTTTATGTTTTTATTGGCATCTTCGTCGATGCGATTATAGATCAAATCTGAGGAGCGTTTCGCAAACTTGTCTGATCGAATATATTTTTCTGTCCTAGAAGGGTTCGACCTACCAAACTCACCGTCCACATCTATATCCTCTCGCTTAATTATGGAAGGGTTAAAAAATTTATCTTTTTTTTTGTTCGGTGTCCAATCGTTACTTTCTAAGTACGAAAATTGGACTAATATAAAAGTCAAAGTTAAACATTTGAATTTGATGGACATAATTAATATTTAAAAATATAATTTTTTTTTTAAAATTATATTTTAATAATAAACTTTAAAAAATGTTTATAAAAATTATAATAATTATATATTCACTTTCTAAAATTTAATAATCAGAAACAAGAAAATTTTCTTTTTCTCACCCATCACATATATATACATATAAGTGAAAATATATTAAGGAAGCTTTTGATGTTTATCCTCAAATTCTAAATTAATATTTATTTATCCATTTTAAAATTTGTCTAATTTTCTATTTTCACTGTTGAAAAATATTAATATTAAAATTTTTTTTAAGGGTTAAAAAATTAAAAGTGTTCCCGTTTATTTAACTAGATTTTTATTTTATTCAAATATAAATATATAAATTATGATTTTTATAAAACTTTTTTTTTCTTAGGATGATTCCCCCAAAAATAGGTGACACGGTAATGTTTATTAAAATCTAGCGAAAGTTTGTTTAGTTTCTTCCCTTCCCTTTCCTTTCTTTTCTTTTCTTTTCTTTTCTTTTCTTTTCTTTTCTTTTCTTTTCTTTTCTTTTCTTTTCTTTTCTTTTCTTTTCTTTTCTTTTCTTTTTCTTTTCTTTTCTTTTCTTTTCTTTTCTTTTCTTTTCTTCTTTCTTTCTCTTCTCTTCTTTTCTTTCTCTTCTCTTCTCTTCTCTTCTCTTCTCTTCTCTTCTCTTCTTCTCTTTCTCTTCTCTTCTTCTTCTTCTCTTCTTCTTCTCTTCTTCTTCTTCTCTTCTTCTTCTCTTCTTCTTCCTTCTTCTTTTCTTCTCTTTTATTATTGAGTCAGGAAATTTTTATATACATTTTTCGATTTAGACAAAGTAATTTTAAAATGTTACATTTAGACTTCAATATATGTTTTTTTTCCTGCTATTATTCTTAAAATTCACATTTAGTTCCCCTTTATTTTATTGGCAATTTTTTTTAAAAAAAATTCGTTTTTATTTGTAATTAATAAATTACCTATAATTAATAAAAGTCAAGATAAAACTTTTGACCATGTTTATTCTTGCCTTAACTCGTAACTGAACAAAACTTTATTCGGCACTCACGAAATGATCTATATCCCCATAAATTAAATTATGAGGTGGAATGAAAAAATCTTAACTTACTTAATTATCGAAATTGCTGTCAACGAAGATACTAAACTAATTACCATGATGAATAATGTTTATAACATATTCCGTATTTTATTTTATTCCTAAATTCGAGAGATTCCTAAAAGTTTTAACCATCGGTATTACCTAATCATTTTCAAAATACAATTTCAAAATGTCCAAAGATGCTCATACACCGGCTATATTAAAGGCTAGACGGGCGGACCTTTTACTCAAATGCCTGCCCTATTTTAAAAATTTTTTTAACCAACTTGTCCGTCTACCCACGGTTTGTTTCAAAAAATTGTCCGCCAATTCGACCGTTCCTCCCATCTTCCACCCATTGTTTCAAACATGTTCCTTAACCCGCCCGCTCATCCGCAAATTAATTTTAGAAAAGTTTCAGCCGCCAATCGCGAACCTAGGCTATACTATGTCAGGCTATTCGTTATAAAGAATGCACAATTTATTATATCTACCTAAAAGGAGATGCAGATATATAATTATGATTTTTCCAGGACAGGCTTTAGGCAGTACATTAACTTAGGCCTCATATTTTTTGCCCTCCTCCAAAAAAAATTTAAGGGCTTAACTTGTTAAATTGTTATATAAGAATAAAGTTGTAAAAGAATTTATAATATAGGTTTTTATATAGGTATGTCAATATATAAATGTACTTTTAAGTGGCTAAAAGCAATATATTAATAGCTAAAACACTAGATAAGGCTGGTCTTTCCATTCAAATTCAACCCACAAGTCTTTCATCTCTTAATTAATTACGTCCAGATAGTGCCATACCTTGGCTTAGAAGGAGGCCATTCTGTGACATGCGTAACCAGGTTTTATTTAAATATGGATCTTAGTGACTCAACCTACAGCCTCAAAATAAATAAATGCTAAGAAATTTCTTCACAATTCATATTTAGAACCACTTAATACAATTACACTAGGATATTTTTGTCTCAAATTTGATTGTTTTTTTTAAAATCAATAAGTCAAAAATTAATAATCCTATCAAATCATATGCGTAGCCAGGATTTTCTAAAATATTTTTACAAGATAGAAGGTTAATTTTAATAAAAAAAATAAGCCTGGAACAAATATGAAATATATTTTTATTAGCATAAAATATAATAAATTACTTGTATATACATTAATATAAAAGCATGGTAATAATTTATTCCAAACAAGAATAAGAAATTTATTTATAAAAAGTAAGTAGACATATAGTTGATATTCCTCTATTATATAGAATTAGTTACAAAATACTAGGTAAAATTCAACTTTTACAGACATATTAGACAGTTAGAGAATATATTACAATTAATATTTTAACAAATTTTACTAATCATACTCTTGATAATAAATATAGCAACAATTTGCATTAAATTATTTAACGCCATCTATTTATTGTAAATAAAAAAATGATATTAAATATTAATCTTCATATTAATCATCCCACAATATCTTTAAAAGATATTTTCTGATGTCCTTATCAATTTATAGTTTTCTGTAAAATATATAATTCGCTTTATTGGTAAAAATTACTTGATTGTCATATGATAATTGCTAAGATATACTGTAAATCTACGACATAATATTCCACTGTTTGTATTGTGCTTTAATTAATTAATTTATTTTATGATTTAATATTATCAATAGTTTTATAATTATATTTTACTTTTATTAAGATAAATAAATTAAAATTACTCACTTTATAAAAAATTATATTTATCCTAGAAAAGCACGGACTAAAAGTAAATAGAGAAAAGACGGAATATATGATGATAGGAGGAGATGAAACAGAGAGTATTGATATAAATGAATGGCAGATATCGGCAATTGAAATCTGCAAATATTTGGGCTCCACATACAAACAAACGGCACAATAGAAAAAGAGATAGAGAGTAAAATTAATCAAGGGTGGTTAAAGTGAAGATCTTTATCTGGAGTGCTATTTGAAAAAAGAATCCCACACAAATTAAAGGGAATATTTACAGTTCCATAGTACAACCAACAGAATCAGACGAGAGAAGTCTACAAACTATGGAGATGAGAATGCTGAGGATGATTGCTGGAGTAACAAGAAAGGATAAACAAGAATACTAAGTAGTTTAAAGGTAGTGCCGATTAAGACTAAGTTAATGGTAAACAGACTTAGGTGGTATGGGCATACAATGAGAAGGCCTATGAACTACATAGGTAATAAGGTTGAGAGTTTGGAAGTGATGGGCAAACGTAAAAGAGGAAGGCCAAAACTTCAATGGGGCCATAAAGTTGGAGCCAATATAAAGAAGTATAAATTAGATAAAAGAGGTTGTATGAATAACATAAAGTGGAGAGAGATGTTGGAGGAGCTTACCACCAGAAAAGGTGAAAGCTAAAGAGAAAAAAATAATAAAATTATTTAGTAATTTTATGGATCTATTATTAATAATTATAATACATTTCACTTTTGTCTTAAGACTTAGCCTTGGCTTATATTCCATTTCTTAAAAACATTTTTGGTTTACTTTTTATATATATAAATGCTTTTTTATAAAAATGTATAAATTAGGATGAATAGTTTTATAAAAAAAAATATCAACTTTTATATTCTTTCTTTCAAATTATTGTTTAAGATATATGCATACATTTTTGAAGGTCAGGGAGTGAGAAGAAGACTAAGGGGGATATTTTTTATTAGCTTAAAATGATATTCACAAAAAGTGATAAATTTCTGAAGGGGGGGATTTCCCCTTGCCCCACCCCCTGGCTACGCCTATATATCAAATTATACAATTTATTTGGAAATATTCCATGGCAACCTCATATGTTTCAGTAAACTTTTCTTTTACTTATTTAGAAATATTTGTAATATTGTTTTTTTAAAAGAAATATTTGTAATATTGTTTTTTTAAAAAAAATATTTTATACTATTTTTTATTCCATAGTTGTTTTATTTATATTTTTTATTTATGTGTTTGAAATATAGATTGGGTAATTACTATTATTTTTAGCCATTTTAAGCCAATTTTTAAGCTGCTAAAAAATCCTAAGCCAAGTATTTAGCCGAAATTAACACTTTGGTCTTGGAATTTTTTTTTGTAAGGATAGCAGCTCAAATTTGAAAGACACAAATATAAATTCAAACGCCTTAACCTTAGCGGATTTTCTACGGCAGGCGCCTGAAGATTGAGCCAACTTAGTACCAATTATTCAACTATAGTTAGAAAATTAAATTTTACAGAATCAAGAATTAGCAAATATAGTAATATTATGCAAAATAATTAATAATGTATCACTAATAGCCGAACATTTTTACGAAGAGCTAGTGACTAGTGATCTAAAAAAAGATAGGATCCTTTAAAACATAGAGGTTGTAATTGTTATATATCAATAACGATAGTAAGAAAAACGGTTTTAAGTTATAATTATTTTATTCTAAAACTAAAAAATGATACTAAAAATAAATATAAAATAAGGTGTATATATATATATATATATGTATTATAAAAAAACAATTTAAACGAAATATGTATTTTAAGTCTATAATAACAATTTAAGTTAAATAAAAAAATCAATTGATCAACAGTAATAAAAAAATTGTCTTGAGAAGGGGATGTATTAAAAGTTTTATTAGTTAAAATTCTACATAAAAATAAATTTCTAAATTAGAAAAATAAATTTTCCTGGATAACAAGGTTTGGTTTGCACGAATAGGGTGGATTGTGAACCAATGTTTAAGTATGGTAACCTATAATATAGATTATTAAAGCATTTTTTCTTTAAAAAGATATTCCTTTGACCTGCCATGATAACTTTCGATATTTTGATACACGAATCAGCAATCCATTACAATATCAAACATTAATATTTATAAATATATAAGTTATCCACACATTTAAGTAATTTTTTA